TTTAAGCTCTTTATCTTAGCTAGGGTAGTAGCTTCCTCGTTAGTGTCTCCGAATGCCTTAATTAGAACCTTCTTAAAGGCAGCGACCGTATTAAGGGTAAAGGTAATTCGCGGCTAGTCGTTCGTTCGGTCGATCTTAACGTACGGAATAAGGACGATACGCGCTTTCGGACCGAGACGACTATATATATAAGAAAGCTTGCTATAGAGGGTTAGAAAGCGGTCTGCATTAGCGGTTAACTTAAGGAATACAGCAATAGACTAGGTCTTTAGTACTAATTTGCTGTCTCTATCGTACGCGTCGGGGTTAGGTATCTTCTTAGACTTCTCGGGCCTCTACTATAGTAGGCCGAAGCCCTTACTCCTATTAACGGTCTAAATCGTATTGTTAAGACGATCGACTTCGTCTATCGCTTGCTTCTATTGCTATTAGAGGTATGCGGTGCGGTCGTTTGCCGTCTTTACGTTACTCTTAGCTTAAGTCTGCGTCTAGTTAATCTCCGCCGTAGCGGCGGCTTCCGTAGCGAGGGCTCGTACCTCTGCATTATTACGCTCTTTCTCGGCGGATAACCGCTCGCTTTTAAGCTAAAGTAGTTATACTTCGTACGTCTAAAGATAGCGATAGAGCTGTCGGTACGTAAGCTCTCTATTAAACTACTAGAATAGCTATACGAGTAGCTCGGCGGTAGGCGGAATAGTCTAAATATTAACATTGCTAGCGCGGCGCTCTTACAGAGTAGGAGGTGCCTACTACGGGTCGCTAATCGTATAGTATTAGTCCTACGGGTTTAGTCGATCGTTAGGTAGCGGTATACTACGAGGCGATACCTTACTATCTATAGTAGCGACGTACGCGATATAGTAGTAGACTTCTTAATAGGCTCTTAGTTAGTGCGGGCTCTACTTAATAGAGTTTAGCGTATAGATCCTACGTAGCACGGCGCCTACTATAATAGGTAGGTCGTCTTGTCTCGAACACGGCGTAAAGTCGGCGTGCCTCTAGTACGAGAACCTAAGGACTTTAGCGAGGTTAATAGACGCTTCGTACTGTTAAGGAACGAGTAAGTGAATAAATAATATTAAGTCGCTAGCTATAGTCGACGAAGCGTAGAGAGGGAAGTTCTCTCGTAAACGCGGAAGTTAGGTATATTAAGTTAATACCTAAGGCATCAATGCTAAGACCTAGCTATAGAGGGCTGGCTTCTAGCCTGTCCGTAACAATATCGAGCGGCGATTTAGTATACTAAAGGAGCAGTAGTAGTTATTTAGCTATAGACTAAACAAGGGCTATTCGGCGACTTAATAGGCGCGATTTGTCGTCGCTATTTACGCCTTAAACAACTTTATAATCGCTTACCGTTAGGCCGAAACAGAGGTATTTTAATAGGAGCCGCCGGATAGAGATGCTAGCTTTAATAAGGATAATATTGTCGAAGACGAGGTCGCTAAGATTAACTGTTAATCGATAGCGTTAAAGAGTAAAATAGCAGTTTATAGGGATAAGATATCGATAGCAGCGTAGCGAGAGTATTAGCTAAGACAGGCAACTAATACTCTATACGATAACGATTAAAGGTAGAAAGTAATAATTAGGGGGTAGTAATAGTAGAGCGGCGGTCGAAATCGCCGTATAGTTCGGTATATTCTAGTCTTAGCGGTTTTCCTTACCTTATAGCGCTATTTCTGCTATCTTCTAGAACTTTAAATAGATCTCGTACGCACTATTATTATCGTCGGCGCCTGTAGAAGTCGTTTAGTATCTAAAAGCGGGTACCTCCGCGCTTAGCGTTAAAATCGGATACCTATTACTATATCGCAATTATCCCTATAATAATACTACTATTTTTCTCTCGTAATATATTGTTCTAAAAGTTTACTAGCAGGCGCATTATATAAAAAAATAACGAGGAAAATTAGTTAATATATTGTTAAGGAATGTTGTAATAAAGCTCAATTCCGAAGGTTTAGCTAAGCCTCGAGCTTAGCTTTATATATACGTATACTTCGAGCTATTTCTAGGGCGACAACATCTCTAAAAATAACCGTAACGGCAGCTCCTAAGTCTGTACTAATATATTTACGCAAAAACTAACAACACCTCTATACAAATTTATAGTATAGACAAAGCTACGACATTCTAGCAAATGCGCATTACCTACGCCTAATTTACGACTACTAATATCTATATTAAATACTAGACTCTATCTCTTAGAGCGACGGCAATAGCTGCCCCCTATTTGCTTAATACAACTGCTAACTAGGGTAATCAAACAGCATATTCTAAGGCGCTATTTAACTTAGTATTTAGTACGCTTAATTATTAACCTGCCTAGGGGCAGTCTAAGGCGGTACTTCGACTACGGGAGGTTTAGCAACCGGCTCTAACTCGCTCTCGTCTACCTTGCCTCTCTTCTTTAACAGATACTTTAGCATTAGCTTAAAGTCCTTATTAGGACAACTAAGCACCCTTCCTAATATACCTTTATTCTCGAGGATATCTATAAGCGCTATACGAGCGCTAAATAGAAGCTTCTAAATGCCCTCGCAGTTTATAGCCTTACGAGTAGCGGCTGTTATAATAGTGTCCTTTAGAGCCGCCGTAAACTGTCGGTTAGCGCTAATAGAAGCTATTACTCGCTAGAGTGGCTTCTCGAGGTTGTTAATCGCGATACTAATATTATCGCGAGAGTAGACTCGAGTCTTAGATAGCTCGGACTCTATATCCTTATTCTTCTTCGTCTTCTTCGAGGAAGCCGCTATAGCCTATTTCTATAGCGATAGCGTATCTCTCTTCCTGCCTCTGCTAATACTGCTATTAGTGCTTATTAAGCGACTAAGTAGTATACTCGGTATAATAGAAGCGCCTTCTTCTTTATCTAATTCTAGCTATTCCTCCTTATTCGCGATAACCTCGCCTTCTACCTCTTCTTCTACCGTTAGCATCGCTAAGTTAGCCGCTTCTAACGCGCCTTTACTAGTCGCTAATTAATTACTAAACAGCACCTCTAACTAGTTATAGAAGTCCGGCAAATTCTCTCTAAACGATAGGTAATCTAGATGCGCCTCGAAGTAGGCGTCTTCTACGTCTAGCTCCGAGCGAGGCGGCTAACCTTGCTATCTACTAGTCCTTCTAAGGTGCCCCTTCTATCTCTTCTATAGTAGTCGGAAAGCGTTAAACTTGTTACGTACCTACTTCGAGGTAATTATTACCTTATAATAAGTATTTAACTCCTTCGCGACGTCCGATAAGTTAGACTCTAGAAAGCCCTAGTTATTATTCTGCTTCGCTATACGCTTAATAAGTGCCCTTAGTATATACTCTACCTATTCTTCCGTCTAGTTATAAGGCGCCTATCGCTAGCGCTTCTTAACCTCGCCCTCCGCCTTATTTATACCTTCTACTATAGCCGCCGCCTTCTTCGTCGATTTTAATACCTTCGAGGCTTTTAAGGCTACCTTCGCCTACTTCGGCGCTATAAGAATACGATATTATCTATAGCAAGAGGGATAATAATAGTAAGTAATAGTAAGAGATAAGGTTATAGTATAGTACTAAGAAGGCGGAAATCGATAATTGGGCTTAAATACTTATAATTAGTATAAGATACGCTATAATAAGACGAGGATACGAGATTTACTATCTTATCGATAATTTAATACTTATCGATAATTTAACGCGAGGTATTTAAGGCCTAAGTAATAAGCTACGGACCGGTAAGGTAGGATGACGGCATTATGTATACTATATATATATTAATTAATTATAGTAAAACATTCGGTACTAGGGAGGGAGGTAAAAGCCGAATTTATAGTTAAGGCTATACTATATAGAGTAGTACTATATTAGTATTTATTATATGTATGTATTACACGTTCTAGATCTGTCTATATAGCCTAAGGCCTTGTTAGTACTATATACGAAGTTTATGTGCATAGGTAGATTTTGTTTTTTTTTATAGAAGCTTGTACGCGATGTTTGAAGACATTTTTTTTCCTTTTTGCTTTTTATTACTACCGTATTCTAGTGTGTATGCGATCGGTGATCGGATTGGAGGAGGGAGGAGGGAGGTATATGTCTACTGGACTGGTTGGCTCGAGAGGAGTGGTGAATTCCCTGCTGCGTGTGAATGTGAAGCAGGTCTGATGACTCTTGTCTTGTATGATAGTTGGAGCGGCCTTTGCTCCCATTTGTAGAGAACGGGACTTCTGGGCCGATTGGAGGCTGACTTGTATTCTAGACTGTCGAGATGCAGCGTGGACAGCATGTGGAGGGCCGATGTTCCTTGGAAATCTTGATTTCAAAACGAGGATAAGGGCAGCGAATGAGACAAGCTGGCACAGATGATTCGTGCGATTTTGCAAGGCTAGCTCTAGTTCTACTGTGGGTAAAGAATCACGTGTCGTCAGCTTTGGGAGAAGGGGGGTTTTTTTTGCTTCTGATTGTTTGTATGCCTGTTGAGGTCAGAGGCTTCCCGGTTGGTGGGATGGTGGTGTGGATGTTAGCTGCACACTTGGCTGCAAGAGAGGAAGTGATGATGAGCTTTGATGTGTCGGTTAGGAGTAGATTGCAGCTGCCAGATGAGCTCGTGACTGCTTCGAAGGAGAAGTGGCGGGAGAGCGATTGGAGAAGCATGCTTTCGACAGCTGCAATCACATTGCATTGCCGCGGTGAAGGCTGTGGTACAGTACAGCATGCTGTGACAGATGCATCAATGGATAGATGAAGAGGCCTTGATGATTGTGTTGGAAGGTGATGATCCAGGTGCATGGTCCTGTTGTTTCGTGTCAGGGCGGAGAATATGAGTGGTGTGGTCGGAAAGGCTCGCTGGAGTGGCAGTGCCAAGATGGTGATCATTATTCGGCAAAAGCCGTGGGACTGTCAGCGGCGCGTCAAATTGTGCTTTCAATCTGCGACTGACAATCTCCTGTTCTGAGCAGCGGTCACATTTGCACCGTGGATGCTGATCTGCCTGCCAGTACTGTAGCATTATTCTGCCTGAAATGGGTGCTCAGCAGGTGTGTTGCAGCATTGTCCGATTCGCGCGCGACGTTGCAGGTCACTTTGCAGGAGACAAGTCCAATAGCGAGGCGCCGCATGTGCGATGTGCAAATGGCAAATGGCGTTCTGCGTTGGGTTCGCCGCGCGCACACCACCAGCGGCCAGCCTTCCTAGTCTCGTCGTCTAAAAACTCTCGCTGCACACCTTGGCACCTTGCCGCCAGCGCGGACCGCGGTAGACGCCTTTCTCGGTTGCGAGTGCGAGTGCGTGTGTGTGCGTGTGCGTGTGCGTGTGCTCATCCTTTCAGCGCCGCTTCACTGCTGCTGTGGTTACTAACGTTACTGTTAGTTCTACTCGCACGGCAACGGTAGCGGCAACGGGAACGCTGAGAGATCAGGAGACTCCATCCTCCTCGCCTTTATCATCATCTCCAACGCGCACTCTTCTGCCTTTGCTACGCCCGTCCACTTCTCGCAGTCCAGTGCAGTGCCTCACCGTCCCCGGGACCCGTGCGCGCGGCATGCACTCGCCACCCATCCTCACAGCCATGGCCATGCCCCAAACTCAATAGAACAAGTCAAAGTCGCGAAGCTTATTCACGCGCGCTTCGCTCCGCTTCACTCGACACGCATATATACATCTTTTATGCACCAGAGCTACACCACTTGCACAGCATCTGTCGTGCTCGGGAACACACGTGGAGAGGCGTCTGGCACCACTATCACCCATATTGCCAGCATCTTGCCATTGCATATACATTGCAGCTAGCTCCACCTCGACACTCGACATCCCCCCCAGACTCGCCATAATGCCGCTCCATCACCGACGCGACCTCGACAACATCCGATCCGCCTACGACAGCGACCGACCCGAAGATTCCGACGGTGACTTGGAAACAAGGTCTTATCAGGAGTCACACAGCGGCAGCGACAAGTCATACCGCACAGCTCCCACCGAATACTCGAGCGCTTCTTCAAAACGACCCACTCGAATACATCACAACACCTGCGAAGGCGTAAGCGAAAATGTACCTCGCTACTTCGACGATCGAATACCTCAACAAAGTCCACGTACATCTGTGGAATCGTACACGTCTTCGATAGCTAGCGACGAGCTCCCGGCAGAGGACGAGCTTCCTGATTATCACGTCCCTGAGTACAGTGCACAGCGCTATGGTCCAGCCGCCATTGCCGCTACGCCAGCAGATTTCTCCCAGCTTTTCCCATCACATCGTAGACTTGCCATTCGGCATGACGACTCTACCTTGGATGGGAACATGAACTTGCGCGTTGACACCGACGTCAATCTCCATGGCCGAAGACGTGACATGACTCTCTTCCACTTGCGCATGCATGACTTACGAGATCGCGAGTTCTCCTTGCGTCGCTACTGCAGAGACTCTGGTCGTGAAGTCTGCCACTCATCTCGTAAGGTCCACAAGTCGCCGATTGAAAAGCGACCTGGATTTCAACGATCGTTGAGCAATGCTTTGAGTAGTATGCGGACAAGGTCCGAGCAGAAAACTCCAACCCTGGCAAGTCTCAAACGGAATGACTCTGGTTACGCGTCCTTGAACTCGTCCGTTGATTTCGATGGGAATCCTCGGCCGCATTCGGCGAGCGCCACTCCAAAAGCCCAGCAGCAGCACGTCGATCCGAACACCATGCATCTCGAGTTCTCCAACTATGCGCATCTCGACATGAAGCGGGCTGGAGGGAAGGGCAGTAAGCGCTACGGCTTTGAGTACTGGGGTTCGCATTATTCCTGGAGGCGCACTGTGCGAAAGGGGGGCGAGACCAAAGCAGTCTCATATCAGCTTACAAAAGCTGGTCAAGACGGACCTGTTGCGCACATCATTCCTGCGCCGCTCACGCCTGCCCAGATGGAGGAGGAACACAGGCTTGGAGGTTGGGTACCGCCTTGCTCGATGTGGATCGCCGATGAGGCCATTGCCCGTGGGCAGAAAGATGTTGCAGAGTAAGTCCGATCATGTGTGCGCGATCAGCCTGCTTCAGCGTCGTGCGCGACCATTTCCACACCCGACATGACTTGGAGCAGGCTGAAGCAGGCTGCAGCGTGGACGCTTCACCCCCTTGCTAACCATCGTTGCAGTGTGGTTCTTGCGACTGGTCTGCTCGCCCTCGTCGATGATTCCATCAAGACACACTTCCACTCGAGGACCTCGAAACAATTACTCATTCCACGACTACAAATGGGCGTCGAATATGTCGGACCCAAACGCCTGATCAATGAGATGTTCAAGCGCGACACGAGTGGGAGTCACAGTCGCCAGATGTCCAGCAGTAGTCGACCCTCAAGTTCCGCAGGTGCTACCGCTCCCAGAGCGGTCAATTGATCGTCGTCGTATGACCCGGCTCCACGGACCGCCGAGCACGATGCGACACACCTCTCGAGCGGTGTGTGGATCGGATCGATGACGCTGAGGCGGTCAGGTCAACGTGACAGATTCTCGGTATCACTGAGGCTTGGATGCATCTTTCCGTCGGAGCTTCTGATCCTCTGACTGCTGGAAGCAGGATCTCGGGTTGACCATTTTCCCCTTGTGAGCATTTGACATTTTGACAGTACTGCATCGCATGGAATATGCATCGCGGGTGGAGCATACTATGCCAGTCAGTCAGCAGAGCATGGACATGGCATTAGCGCAGTGTTTGCTGGGCGTTTGACGCCGAAACCTTCATACTGCAAGCAGCACATACTCGCGTTTGGAGGGATGCAACAACAGATGTGTGGAATGCACACTGAAAGGGTTGTAAAGGTGTTGCGGTCTTGTGGAGGATATCCTTTTGATACCGACAGATCAACAAGCTTCAGTTCCAGCTCCAATGAGCACGCAGCAAGCGCGCTCGCGCTCATTATTCTGCAAAGCTTCGCTTCGCTTCCTGAAGTCTGCACGCACGGGAAGTCTGAGGAGATTTGATCCTGGTTCATATGCATGCCGCCGCTTTGACAGGCCGTACGTATGCGAGCGCCCGCTCTCCGTCGCCCACAGGTGCAGCTCGGGACTTATAATACGGCAGGAACCCGACCAGTACCATCGACGCCTGTGTAACCGACCAATGTGATTTGCGAGTTTCAACAGGATTTTTGCTTCAAACATCGTTCACGCACAAACAACGCCACCCAGTTTGCTGTCATGTCATCAATTGTGGAGCGGGAAAACAGGACAGTGCTGCGTCCGCACGTCATAGGCCCTCTCTAGCCTCTAAACTTCTGGCCTCTTGGGCTGCTGTGCTTCAGGCCATCGACACGTCACGCAGCACTCTAATGCACCTTGTTGGTCCAAGTATCCCGTCCGCGGTGGAGTGTGGACTCATGCATGAACGCTCCCTGGGGACGGCAGTCAATCGCGTCCTGTCGGCGACCACAGAGCTTCGTAGCTTCCATTATGCCTTGGATATGCGCTATCAACATACCCAATGTCCTTCGAGCACTCCGACCACAGCCGTTGATCAGCAGTTCATGTGCTTCGGTCCCCAATGGGTGCCGGCTCGGTCCAAGGCTTCACGCGCCGATCCAGCGGGCCCTCGGATGGCACGAGCAGGATCCAGTCCATGGGGCCACCCTTTCCAGGCGTGTGCCATGCCATGCGGGCTACCTTTCGGCTGCTTGTCTTTTAAGTGGGCAGTCGTCGTTTGGCGCGGTAATCATTCCAACAAAGAAGTCCTCTCTTACACCATCACTTCTCTGAACACCGCGGTCTGGAAAGGCACAGGTCTGACACCTTTCACACCGACGGCTGCGTGCTGCTCGCAACGCTGCCACGTTTCTCTTGTGATTGACAACCACAATGCAAAACGCAACACACACACACACACACTCGCTGCCACAGCTGATAAACAAAAACCACACACGTTATAAGAATCTTTCCCTTGGGCCACAGCTCTGCTCTTGCTCTCTACTCTCGAGACGTATCTCACCTGCGTGCGCGCGCGCTAAGTCAAACCTTCTTGTTCTCTTGATACCCAATCCGCAAGCCCTTGCTTTTGCTGCTGTCGCGTGAAGGCATAAGCTACCTACCATTAGCCTTCACATTTTACCTTTACTCTTTCCTATTCCAGTCGACAACGCTTCCATCCATCCATCCAGCCAGCCAGCCAGCCAACACGAAATCTTTTTTTTTCTTCGAAACAAATCATGGCTTCCGTATCGACTTCGTCTTCTGGCCCCCAACCTTCTCCACATCAGGAGCGTCTTATAAGTTCGTCTTACCTTACCTTACCTTACCATCCATCCTAACCACCTCATCCTCGTTCCAGACTTCTGTCGAACCCAAGGCATCCGAACCCCCAACTTCCAAATCGTCTCCGACAGACGCGGTAAGTTCCACCCCCTCCCCCCCTCCCTTCCCCACCCACTCACTCACTTTCTCCCAGGCGGCCGCACAGCCTGGAGCTGCGTCGTCAGCATCGCCGGCGCCGGCTCCTTCCCGGCTCGTTTCTGGTACGATGGAACATACATCAACAATGCACGCGAAGATGCGGCCGAGAAGGCGTTGCAGATGTTAGGCGTTCTTCCCGCTCCGCCTACGCCTTCGACTGCGACTACGACTCAGAGGGGTGGGGCTATTCATACTTAGTTGGATGAGGGGATGGGAGCGGGACTTGGGGCGATCGGATGGAACACAGGACAGTACGGGGATCTTTGTCGTCGATGGATTCAGAGGTATGGGTTAGTTAGTTGGGCATAGCGATGGTTGGTTGGTTGGCGGGTTAGTTCTAGGCATTTGGATATTTTTCTGCTGTAGGGGGAAATTTTGAAGCTTGTGAACGCGTTCCTTTTTTTTTTCTTTCTTCTTGGTCTTTAGAGGCTTGATGCTTGATGCTTTCTTTGTCTTGACGTGGTTTCTTAGCTACGGAGCCTTCACTCTCGACTCGGATGGCTCTGAGTCCTCCTTGGGGCTTGGCTTGGCGAATTGAATTCAGGGCCGCATTGGATCTATTTATTTGCCGACATCCGATGCGACAAAAAAAGTCATGGCCACAGTAGAATAATCTCCTGGAGACCTTAACAGACCTCGATCAATTTTTCGCTCAGGAATCCTTATCTCATCAAGGATCCCGCCGCGAACTGATGGCAAGCGAGCAACAGTCCTACCTCGTCAGCACCTCACTCATCGTTTGCGCCATTCTTTCTTCCATCCAGATCAGCAGATTCCATATCTGGAAAACTCCTTACTATGTTGGAACCGGCTTGATGTCCGTGGTTGGGACATCCTTCGCTACGATTCCTGTAGCAACTGGCGCTCTGTCTCAAATGTACGATATCGGGATGTGTCCAACTGCCGCAGATGGAACGAAACTCCCATGTCCTCGTGGCGACGGCGCCATCCTCGGGACCCAGTGCGTCTGCGCACTACTGGAAATCTTAATGTCGTTTATGCCGCTAGAAGTCTTGAAGAGGATCTTCCCGCCACTTGTCCGTACTCCTGATCGGTGCGAAACTCATCGCCACTGGTATGGCCAACTGGGCAGGCGGCTCTGGTGATTGCTCCAGCAGACCTGAGACTGGACTTTCCCAGCTGTGTCCGACTATCAGTGCGCCGCATGCTTTACCCTGGGGAAGCGCGGAGTTTATTGGACTCGGGTTCTTGGTCTTTCTGACCATTATTCTATGCGAACGCTTTGGTTCTCCGATTATGAAGAGTTGTGCGGTCGTCCTCGGCCTCCTTGTAGGCTGTATTGTCGCTGCTGCATGTGGCTACTTTGATCGTTCCGGTAAGTCTTCAAGGCATGAGGAAGAGAAAGACGTATGGAAACACTAAGACGTACAGGAATCGACTCTGCACCAGTCGCCAGCTTTATCTGGGTACACACCTTCCCACTAAGCGTATATGGACCGATTGTGCTTCCCCTACTTGCCGTCTACGTTGTCCTGGCTATGGAAGCCATCGGAGACATTACAGCTACTTGTGACGTTTCAAAACTGCAAGTCGATGGGCCCATGTTGGACAGTCGCATTCAAGGCGGTATGCTATCAGATGGCATCAACAGGATTCTGGCCGGACTCTTCACGATTACACCCATGAGTGTCTTCGCGCAGAACAACGGAGTCATCGCTTTGACAAGATGCGCAAACCGAAAAGCTGGCTATGCTTGCTGCTCCTGGCTTCTGATCATGGGTATATTCGCCAAGTTCGCCGCCGCACTCGTTGCGATTCCAAACGCAGTCCTGGGTTCCTCTTCGCCTCTGTCGCTGCATCTGGTATCAGAATCATTTCCACCATGCCATTCACGAGGCGGAATCGATTCATTCTGGCTGCAGCACTCGCTGTTGGCTTTGGTGCCACTCTTCAGCCCACATGGCTCAGCTATGTGTTCACATCCTCGGGCGATAACAGAGCGCTCCTTGGCTTCTTCAATGCCATTGAATTGGTCATGGAAACTGGCTTCGCAGTCGCGGGCTTCTTGGCACTTATTCTCAATCTGGTCTTGCCTGAGGAGATTGAGGATGAAGATTCTCCCGAGCTCACTGCTAACAACGCCGATGAAGAGGATGACAGGGAAGAATGGGATAGAATTCATGCTATAAAGAAAGGTGATCAGGACGACAGCGAGGTGAAGGCTTCGTGAGTTGAGAGTACGCAACAGTTGTGGACTTTGCGTACATAGAATACTCCACAAAACGCGTTTCGGGTTATTTACTCAAGACCAACTTGGCATCTCATCACCAACCTGCCTTCTCGTGCTTGTAGTAGCGTGAGTGAATGTCCTTCGGCTGTCCCAATTCAGCAATCCGGCCTCGGCCATCTCAAGGTGGAGGCATCGTGGCTCTTTGCTCCTTCTGGCCCTCACCCCTCTTCAAGCTCTCATAATAAGAATGCACTGCATGGCTGCCAGTGTACGTAGATGCTATGCTGCACAGCGTAATAAGTCGGAATTATTGAAGCTCCATCCCCGATCAGTTTTCTCCCCTCACAATTCCACATCTTCTCTCCTTCACAAGTAATAAAGAAAAAGAAACCTCGATCATCACAATGTCAACAGAAGAAACCAAGCAACAACCACCTCCCCCTCCCCCCTCCAACAACAAAGAAACCTTCCACTTCATCAACGACCCAGCAAACACCATCCACGACGCCCTCACCGGCCTAACCCACCTCAAACCCACCCTCTCCTACAACCCGGACTCCAAAATCCTCTACCGCACCGACCTCCCAACCTTCTCCTCCTCCCACGTCACGACCATCGGCTTCGCAGGAGCCGGTCACGAGCCCATGTTCAGCGGCTTCGTAGGCGAAAACCACCTCTCGGCCGCCGTGTCCGGAAACATCTTCGCCTCCCCGACCGCGACGCAGATTTTCGAAGCGATAAAACTCTGCCAACGACAAAACCTTTTGAGCACTAGTGATAGGAATAATCAAGGGACGTTGGTGGTGTGTGGGAATTACACGGGAGATATTTTGAATGCGGGGTTGGCGATTACGAGGGCGCGGGCGGAGGGGTATCATGTGAGATTTTGTGCGGTGGGGGATGATGTTGGGGTGGGGAGGGAGAAGGGGGGGAGGGTGGGGAGGAGGGGGTTGAGTGGACATTTGGTTGCGTTGAAATGTGCTTGTGGGTTGGCGGAGAGGGGGGAGAGGTTGGAGAGGGTTGCGGAGGTGATGGAGTATGTTGCGGCGAATGTTGGGACGATTGGAGTTGCTTTTGATAGGTATGTTGGAAGAAATGGGACACGTTGGACGCGGGACTAATGATAATAATCATGCTAATTGATGATTGTTGAAATAGAGTTGCCCTCCCGAACGCGACTTTGACTGATCTACAGACGCTTCCTCCTGATACGATCGAGCTTGGTATGGGCGCTCATGGTGAGCCAGGATTGCAACAGATCTCACCTATTCCTACTCCAGACGCTCTCGTGTCGCAGATGCTTGATCTTTTACTAGATGTCTCAGACAAGGATCGAGCCTTCATTCCGTTCTCCAGCTCTACCAACCCAAAGACCGATGGTGAGGTCGTGCTATTGCTGAATAGTCTGGGAAGCACTTCGGACGAAGTCCTGGCACGATTTGCGGAGCTGGCGAAGGTCGAGCTCGAGAGGCGAGGTTTCACTGTGCGAAGGCTGACTCTCGGCCCACTGGTGACGAGTCTGAAGATGAGCGGATTCGGGATTACTGTTTGGAGACTGCCTCCGGACAGTGGAGAGGTAATGGACCGCAAGCTCGCGATTGATCTTTGGGATTCGCCGGTCGATGTTGTAGCTTGGCGGCAATAGTATATACATCCTAATCGGCTCGAAACACTTCTTCCAGTGGCTGCCACCAGCCTTTTTCGTCTGTGCTACCTGTGCTACCCGGCACAAGTGATTCTTGCATGCTGTCCGTCATCTGCCACCTGATGTGATACCTCGTTGTCAGCTTCCATTTCCGCTATTGAGAATGAACATGAAGGTCGGAGCCTCACTCACCACCTGCGCACTTCTGGGTTCGCTTTCATCTTCTCCATATCGGCATCGAAGTCGCTGCCAGCATACTTCATCGACGCAAATAACGTCATAGAAGACTCGTCGAGAAAGATGGAATAATCGACGATATTGCAATCTTTGATCTGCTGGAGCACAGCTGGCCAGACGGCGGCATGGCAGTCCTTGTATGCCTGCAAACATTCGCGCTTCAGGCGCACGATTTGCCCAATGCGGCGTGGTTCTGCAGTCATGCTTCCGTGTCTATCCTTTGGGTGTTGTTGTTGCTCGATGTCCTTCTAGGTCGGCTGTGGCTGGGCTTGCCATTTATTTCATGAGAATTGGAGCTCTGGCTTTCGCGTCGGTGGAGCTCTTGCCGAGGTCGGCTTTCCCATAATGATGAGATTCGTGAAATTGACTATGCTACAAAATCGCCGTCCATTGTTTTTCTCGACGGCGCCACGATCAAATCTTTTGACAGCCATCGACAGGCGTTGGCATCGCTCTAGAGCCAAGTGCCCGCTCGATTCATCAGCGCATTGAGTCGTCTCCTACGAGGCCTTTAAAAGTCTAAAAGCGCGAGGCACAGATGATGTCTGAAGCAGATCTCCAGTGCAACGACCTTGCTTAGGAACAGCGCAAGGGCCCAAGTAAGCCGTGAAAGCATTGAGCGTCTAGGAGCGACCTTGTCCATAGACACAGTCACAGGCGCTTGTGTATGAAAACGGTTCCAGGAACGTCATCAGCCTGTGTACGAGCCGAAGATCAATGCTCTGCCTGTGTTCTCAACGACCCGGCCCTGCGATTCCTCAAGCATCAGCAGGAGGTGAGTCGTTCTTATAAGGACCTCTAAATCGATTGTCAGCCAATTCAAGTATTCCACGATCATTCACGCTTACCTTCCAGCTCGACTTGGTAGCTGACAGGAGCATCCATCTCGCTAGCGAATAGTACAGGTATGTCACGACGCCATTTCTGCTCCTTCACACGGAACTTGATTCCAGCATTGTCATCTCCGGTGTTCAGCCAGAGAATGGTCGAATCTCTTCGTGGATCCAGAGCATTGGCAATACTGTTGGTCCTGGACCTGCTACTAGTTGCAGTATCGTCATGGTCACGGATGATGTTCACTACCTCGCCATCAGACCATTTCTTACTCTCGCAGTGATCTGCCAACCAGTGCCGCCAGACACGAATGGTGCCTCTGCAGAGCTCTTGTACACTGCAGAGCAGACCACGGGTACTTTCACGTTTGCCCAGATAAGCCATTGTCTCAAGTTGGGAGAAGGAGAAATCGGCATCGATGCCGATCGTCCTCGACACTACGCTACCAGCGTTTGCCAACTTTGTTTTCACAGCATCCGCAGGGACGTATGAGCGTGAGCCAGGTATGTCTCCAGCAGGATGAGGTCGAGGGATGGACAACCAGTCTGGTTCCTGGTTCATGGGCCGAAATCGTGTATACAAGTCTCCCATACGTTTGATTGTACCGACTCGATCTCTTTGCTCCTGTACATCGCAGACCAGCTCTTCCATACCGCCAGTGCCTAAGGAGGAGCATATTACTTTTGACATGGTCCATTTCGCGCTCGGCGGACCGCATTCAAGATACAGCGCGGATTGTCCGTCGAGACATGCCGCGAGCTGGAGTCGATGGCACAGCAAGCGTACTATCAAGGAGTGGAAGTGGCGACAAGTCGGCGTGAAGTGGATGAGATGTTTAGAGGGAAATTGGGCAAAGATGTTGAGGAGAATCTGCATCAGGTAAGCCAGTGTTTGGTCAATGCGAGAAGAGGGATTGCACTTCATTTGGCAAGGCAAATATGCCGCGCGAGATATGCGCTGGATCGGCCATGGCTACAGAGTCTTATTGATTACAAAGAGAAATGGAAGTCTGGCAGTGTAGATAGAGAATATGGCTCAGCGTCAGTGATTGAAAGGTCGAAAGGATCGTTGCAAGTCACCGAGTCTCGCGTCATCTTGGCGCCGCTGCCGAGGTCTGTTCGACGCGCCGGGCTCCGCTTTCTTCTTCGTGGCCTCGTTCTTGTGGCATCGACCACCTCTCAGTGCGCAGCGAGAAGGGGGCGGATGCGCGAATTGCCCATCATGGCCAAGGACAACGATCAAGGCCTGCATCGCTTCGTGATGCGACAGCATGCTGGAGCTGGGTACGATGGACAGAACGACATGGGTGATCTGTCTGATCTCAAAATCGGACCTAACGGCAAGAAAGGCTCAGCGTCGGCCAACATGCAAACAACCAGAACCCAGGCTCGGCATGCGGGCACCAGATCTGCTGGTCAGAGAGACTCGCCGCCACATGCACAGCAGAACGTGTTCGGTACTGATGCGAGCGCCGCTGACAGGACGTCGATTGCTGAAAGCGCGAGAGCCACGCAACAGCCCAAGACAAAGCAGCAGCTTGAGAATTCGCAGCCCAAATCGAGAAATGTCCACGACCCAGCTGAGTACGATGATGGCGAGGGAGAAGAGAACTATACTCACCATCGAGAATTCGTGAACCAGCCAGCCAACGGTCAACAACAGTCAAGACCTTCCTCCGGAGATGCACGTCATGAAGCAATGCCTCATAGCACCATCAACAAGCGTCTGAGCGGCGACTCTTACCCAGAAACGACTTCTGGCAGTCCATCAACCGTTGACCAGAATGCCGTGCAAGACCGTCGCGGGCAAACCGCTCAATATGCTCATCCGGCCATGCGTTCTCGTGGACCGGGTGCTCGTGCTCTTCAATCGGCTGGCGAGCACGTCCAGGTTCAGACTTCGACGCCACAGCTACCGCAGCATGGTGCACTCGGAGTGCCGAACATCTTCGGTCAGCCAGGACCCAAGAACATGACTGCGCTTGTGGAAGACGTGGCTCAAAACTTCTCATTCGGACCCCCTCCACAAGCTCATCTGAACATGGCAAGACCCGGCCAGCAGCCTGCGCAGGCTCGCACATTGCAGCCCACCCAGCAGCTACAGCGTCACAATCAGCAGGAGAAAGTTATGTTGCAGCAAGAGCAGCAGCAGCAGCAGCAGGTTCGGCCATCGACGCAGCATGGCCACAGGTCAGTTCCAACAGATCAGGCTCATCACGGTTCGGAAGAGCCACCTCTCCAGCAGCCACGTGCTCCAGCAGTGAATGAGCCGCCGCAGCAGCCCACGGGGGACGAACGTGGCGAGACGCGTTCGCCATTCGAGCGCGGACAGGTACAGCTCCCCTCTAAGCAACGTGCACATCGCGCAGAGACCCCACTCCAGCAGCGTCTAGATCTACCATCCGAAGCAGCCCAGGAGTACTCTGATGGAGCAAATCCTGGCTTCAACGGCTGGCCTTCCGCCAATGGCCATGATGAGCAATATCCTCCAATAGAGGAGAGTGCTCTCGATTACGAAGACAAAGAGCTCTTCAGGATGGACTACAGCAATTTGAAGGCGCAGCCGTTCGATGCTGATCCCCACATGGGACCTTTCGAGTTTCCTCCTAATCAACAAGCAGGCACCTTTGACGAGAGGCTCAAAGCAGCCGCAGGTCTACCACCAGATAGCCAAGCTGACTTTCTCGCTACTCTCGACCTCGACCAGTGGGAGCAAGCCGGAGACTGGTTTCTTGATCGTTTCGGTGAGCTTGCAAGCCGCTTCAAGAACGCCCGTAATGCAAAGCGCACCGCTGCTCGCGAGTTCGAAAACGAGATCGAGCACCGCCACGAGATGGTGGCCAAGAAGCAGAAGATCACAGAGGCTGCTATGAACGAGATGAGGGAGAGTGGTGGAAAGGTGCTTCAAGGCACACCAAAGAAGACGAGGAAGGCCAAGTGATTCATGACGGCTTGAATGTCTGAAGCAACATGTGGATTTCGATGTGGACTTTGGACTTCTGCATTATTATTATTATCATCACAAGCGCGGCGTTTCTGGCCGTGGGATGAATGCATGATATGGAGGATGGCTCATGATTGACGTATGGCTGTGATATGGCTGCAGTGCATTTGCTGGCGCACGATACCCATTTGCTTGGACCTATTTGCTAGCATCACTTATAAGTACATGGAATGAATGAATGATAAACCTGAACCGCACCAATTCTCATCCCCACATTTTCTACAACTTGTCTTGTCAACAACGACGTGTCGTGTCGTCGCCATGATGCATCCGGCAAAAAAAAACAAAAAAACTTGTTCCTCCACACTGCACTGCACGTTCGCTTACCTTTTTAGAACTAGAATATCCCCTCGCTTCCAATTCCACCTTCCCCCCCCCTCGCGTCAACGAGCCCCGAAATGCTTATTATTTTCTTCTCTCTCTCTCTCTCTCCACACTGCACTCCACAGACGCCATCTGACAGGGCTTCCAAACTTCCCCGGCTCCACTTATCTTGTCTAGAAGAAGAAAAAGAAAAAGAAGAGAAAAGAATTGTCGGTGAGCGCCGACGTATCCCTCCCTCCCGAATCAAGGCTTTGACCGAGGATCCGCGGGTGTTGGAAGTGGCAGTAGTTTCGCTGCACAGCAACGGATTGGGGGGGATCAACATGCTCGAGTCAGCTCATCACCACACGAAATTTGTACAGTAGAATCTTTGTAAGCCGAGACCGAGACCGCAGAGTTGTGCGTGTTCGCTTCGCTTCGCTACTGCTTTGTCGCATTATTGGCGCTGGCTGCAAGCGTTGAGAGTAGCGAGTGAATTGTGAGACGAGATAGCATTCTATTGCCAGTAGTGTAGTAATAATAAACAGGTGCTGGCGCTACGACGAGCGACTGAATGGCGCATTGCATCAGCTCTCAAGAGCTAAAAAAACCCCCCCTTCACTTTCCAGTCTGGTTCGACCGCTGGTAATCATGGCAGCATATCAGTATCAGACCCAATTGCTATAGCCACTGCCATTTCGCCAACCCATCCCAGCAGGTCTCGCGACCGCGAATTCTCTTCTCTTCGCCACAGTTCGCCGTTTCCGATCTATCTCGCTAGAACTCCTCGCCATAAAATCAATAAAAAGTATTCGGTCATGTGTCCATAATCTATCCGTGACTGTGCCCGAAAGGCCAGGTCCATTACTCTATCAATTGACTGGTTCTGTCATTCTGCATTCATTGTCGTTCCAGTGTACTCGAGTTAGAACGACTGCAAAGGCCTAAATTCGTTCTGAAAGATCGTTGCCTGCCTCGCTTTGCCGTGCACTGCTTTGGCCGCTGCAAATGCCACTGCCCGGGTTGGAAATGTCTTTGATCTCTTTGACTTGATACGTGCTCTCCTTGATTGCGACCATCGGCACAGGGAGCTTTCGCTGAGCGCCGTCACCAGCTTCCATGATCTCGCTGATTCTCAGTCCGCTGTGCTGAGCTGGAACATATGGCTGCTGACCATCAGCCGACGGCTCAACCGGTGCTAGTGCCGGAGGTGGTTGGTGAGCCATAGATAGGTGGTGCAATGTCGGAAGCTGAACGCCATTCGCGTGGAAAAACTGCGGGCGAAGTCGCGGAGAATGCGAGGGTGTTGCAAGTGGGGTATGGTCGGGAGTTGGAGAAGTGTCTGGGTGCGAGAAAGATGGCGATGGCGGGGCGGTGGATTGTGGAGAGCCTGGTCTCGACTTCTTGTATGGCCTGTGGTCATCTTCGTCATGCGAGTGTGATCTCGACATAGGCTGCGACGTCGGATTTGACGAGTAGTGGTATGAAGAAAGCGAGGGCATGCGACCAGTGTTGTACGGATGATGGTACGGGGTATGCCTCGTCGGTAGATTCAAGTGTGGATTGGGTAGCTGAGTGTTGTTTTCACGCTCGACTTGCGATGCCGCCGTGGCCAGCAGGTTGATATCCATCGGTCGATGGAGACTGCCACCTTGCGCTGGACTAATATCGCCACTGCTGTTGCGAGTAAGATAAGAGCCTGGAGTGCTGGTGTATGTAGACGCATGAGAGTGCGGAGGCGACACGTTAGGAGAGCTCAACTGAGAGTTGGGGGCTGAATGTGTCGTCTTCTGAACTGGAGGTGCCATGATGGGATTCATCGGTGGAGGCGGCTGGTGGATCGGAGTCTGCATCGGAGTCGAGTGCTGACTGAACATGCTCGGCGACTGGTTCATCTGGTTGAAGGCGTTCACCTGGCTGAGCTGGTTCAATTGCTGCATGTGGTTATTCTGGCTGAGTTGGTTGATTTGGTTGATCTGGTTGATCTGGTGGAGTTGGCTCATTTGGTTCAACTGGTGCGTTGCCGGGTTGTCGTACATGCCGCCTTGGACGGCAGCAGCTGCCGCGGCGGCAGCGACATGTTGTTGCTTGTTGCCGCGACGTGAGTTGGGGTTATTGTGTATGCGCGAATGACGAGTCAATTCGTCGGATCTGCTGAATCGTTTTGTGCAACCGGGGAACTGGCAGGCGTGCGGCTTCTCGCCGGTATGCGTTCTGATATGTCTTGTCTGATGCTCGAGACGATGAAAGGCCTTATCGCACAACGGGCACTTGTACGGACGCGGCAAATCTGGTCGGTGTTCGTCCTGGTTCTGCATTGCGACGCCCACTGCCGGCATTGTCGCAGCGGAGCCGGCCATGGGTCCGGAAGTCGTCGTCGATGCGGTCGCGTTGGGCGACGTGGAAGGTGCGTGGCGGGTGGTGTCGTCGGCGGAGGCGGAGGCGGACGGCGATTGCTGCGTTTGCTGCGAGTGAAGCAAGTCGCTGAGGTTCATGTGGACGGGAAGAAAGGGCGGCGTCGGTTGTCGCTTGGGGCTTGGCTTGGCTGAAGCGGGCGAGCCAAATTCTCTTTGCGTGTGGTGTGGTGAGTGGTGACGCAGTGCGCACGGGATGTACGGAGCGGAGGAATGCAATGCAGACGCTGATCCGGGGTAGGTCTGCAGTGTGCAAGGATTGTGGAGGAGAGAGGTTGGTTGCGAGGGCAGAGAGCAGAGTTGGATGGTGGTGAAGGGTGACGCTGCGCTGCGCGGTGCTGCTACCGGAAAGCAGAAGCGCGTGCGTAGAAAAGGAATTCACAAGCGCGGGAGTGCTGCCGGGAGAACTAAAGTCAGAGTGCCCACTCCACACTGACATCGATGTCTCTATCCGCATCCCTTTTTGCGTCATGCAGGAACCAACCGCGACACCGTGGCCCACACCTTGCTGTGGACGATGCATCATGCGGCTACGGAAGCTTGCCCGGGGCACCCACGGGGCGAGGGCGAGGGCGACGCCGCGACGGGGACGCTCATCTATCATCACCCTAGCCTCGCTCTGCGACTCGCGGCCTGGCCTGGCCTGTGACGGTCAGACGGGGCTGAGCATCCGTGGGCGTGGCACCCTCTTATCATATCATCACTCGGAGCTACTACTACAGCAGTATGGTGCTGTTGCGCTGCGCTCGGCATCATGTCTGTAGGGCTGAGGAAGGCGCTGCAATAAATTCTGCCTAGTTTGGCCGAGATGGAGTCCCACCGTCGGACCGACAAGAAAGCTCTGCACTGAAAAGAGCGCACTCCCAGGCCGCATAGGGTGTAACAGAGGCCCGCATACAGAAGAGCGCAGTTTCACCGACAACAGCGAGGCCGACATGATGACGAGTCGCCGCCGCAAGTCTCTGATAACATGGCCCGTATCACAGGCGCCAATTTCACTTGCGATCGGAAAGATGATTTTGAATCGCAACAACTCATCCGCTGTCTCCTGTTCGAAGCTGCCCAATGAGCCTGTGTCTCATCCCGCAACGTTGCCCGCACAACAAGGATGCACCAGCACGCATCCGTGACAGGACAGGACAGGAATAGCAGGTGGTGGCACTGTCTGTCACTGTGCGGTGCGCCCCCGAACCAAAGCCTACACCCTGAGATGAACGGGATCCTTTGTCTCTAACGGGCAAGCAATCTGGGGAAAGGAGTCGACTCCGCTCCACGTCTTGCTCCGTACAAGAGCTGCGTGTTGGGCTTGCCTATCTTTGAGAATTCTTGCCAAGCCTCGGCCTCGCGATGGCAGTCCCTTTTATTTTAATACCCAACACACAAACAGCGGAGCCTTGAACGCCTGCGGCAGCCATCTTCTGCTGCGCAAAACATGTAGATGAAGCCTGGCTGCGTTACTATTCGCGGATCCAGGAGTTTGGAACGCGATAGCAGCCGCTGATCCGGCAAGCCCGGCAAGCGCTCCCTGTGGATTCTTATGAAATGAGGCTTCTCCACTCCACCCGGCAAAAGCATGGCTAACTTACAGTGCAGTATCAGCCGTCTAATACCGTGCTTAGTGGACGGCTTTGGTAAGTCTTGTTCAAGTCCCCGGAAACCGAGTGAAGTTGTGACATGTTCTCGACTTCTTCCGGGAATCGCCAAGGAATAGAATGCCGCGACGCCTTCCTACTGGCTGCCCGCGCAAATCACAAGCCACAATTCACATGCTGATGCGGAACGAAGTCAACCCCCACGGGCCATGACTCCACGAGGCTGACTGCGGAACCAATATAGGCTAAATTCGTGGCAGGACGGAGGATTTAACAAGCCTGCGGACGAAATCGCAGAGTTCTGAGAACGTGTCGAGATCTATTATGGATGCACAGTGGGAGCATGCTCAAAGCAGAAAGTGCAAGCAATCGCGGCGTATAAAACATGTCCAGCGAGGCAGAGGCCTGAAGGTGCATCGTGCAGGTATCGTGCGACTGCTGCACTTTCCATTCATCTAACCACCAGGCTATCATATGATGCGGTGTGCAGCGAATGTGGGGACGAGAGCCTTGCGTACACCAGCAGCTTACTAAGGCTTCTCCTCCCCGTCGTGTACCGATGGTGCTGTATCGGCCAGATACTCTGCTGTACTGTATCCGTAAGCCTCAAGCCGAGGTCGCACTCGTTGATCAAAGGTAAGAAAGCAGCACCCGATTTGCTCCGAGTTGTGGAGAAGAGGCACTAGAAGTATTAGCTAACAACCACATCCTCCACCATCACCTCATCCTTCTCCGAAACTTTTCGTATCTTCTTTCATGTGATTTCATGTGCGCCCACCGCAAGTCGCAATGTCAGGCTAGCTTGCCTCTCACCGTTTCCCACACAAGATTATTATGCCTGGCGCGGACCTATGCCATGTCAAACCTTCTCTTATCGTGAAGATTGCCTCTATCCGCGGCTTGGTGCAGTCACACGCCGCTTACTTCACGGAGTGAGCGGCGTTTGCCTCCAATTTAGCTGCGGATACATTCTCATCTCCAGCACCGCGCACGTAGGAAGGCCTAGTCTTCCGCCGAACACGATTGCCCACAAGCTAGGTCTACAGCCACACTACTGATAATGGTATCTCCGTTTAGGGAAAATCGCGATAAAGAGGAATTCGGAATTCCTCACAGACTTTTCGAACCGTATACTTCCGCCGATCGTTATTAGTTTAGCTCCCTATACTCTACTTCTCGGATATCAAGTTATGGAAATCACGGCAAACAGGTTTCAATTCCTCGCATCGACATCGACATTGTTGAGTATTGCTACAATTGAATCAGCAGATGCAATACTTCACTGCTAGTCGTGAGACTTTCTTCTACTGCATACTGCCGCCTTGCTTCCGATATACATACAGCATCCACCGAGCCGAGCTACTTCCAGATTAATCTGTATCGCAGTCTCTTGCAGAACGGATATTTGCTCAAGAACTAACCTTGCTCCGTGGAACTCGAAGGTACGTACGTACCAACACTTCCTTCCGTCATTTACCATCATCTCACGCATGGATGGCTTGTCTTTGAAAACAGGTCTTCTAAAACTAGCTTTTGTCGAGTGCATTAATTAACTCATTACGAAACTCCGGTCGATGCTACCTACGATAGTTCAAACTTCAGCCTTATTTATACAGAGTCTGGCCATCTCCGAAGATTAACTTAACTTTCCGACACTAACCTTTGCAATATTGCTAGGTTATCTACGTCTATAACAACTCAATACTCGCATTATTATCCGATTGGAAGTGTCGCATACTATAGTGCTAAGAAGGCTTAATAAAGAGGCCTTATTTCCAACCCCTATACTACTAGAAGTCTCCTATACTAATAATACCTCTTTCTAGCAGTATACTAGCATTGCTACTATGCCAACGATATATAGGCAATGTCCTGCCTCCGAATAAAGCAAAAGAGGAGGTGTTTAGGGCAGGGTAGGCGCGTAAGAGCCGTATAAACAATAGGTATAGTAGGTACTAAGGGAGGATATAAGAAGCTAGCTAGAGGAAGCTAATAAACAGAGAGAGAGATATATACTCCCTAACACCCTTATTTCGAACCCTCTAGAGCTCTTAGAATACTCCTATACTTATTTCTATACTATAATTATACCTCGTACGCTTCCGTAGGTTCTTATAATACCTATATAAGAGGATACCTCCTCTAGCGAGGGCTCCGCTTCTCCGATAACTCCTCCCTTCTCGCCTGTTCTTAAGGCGACTATTCTAACCTAACTACTATCTGATCTATTTAATATACTATTACCTCTTTAGCACTTATTTAAGGAGTCCTTTAGCACTATAGCGGAGCCTAGTTTACCCTTAGGTCTTATAGACCCATTATTTAGCACTGCACTACTAGATAAGGCCTTCTTCTAGCGGCTCTTAAACTAGGCAGAGATGCAAGCTAAGATAGGTGACTCGCAACTGCTAGCTATACTGCAGCAACTAGATAGCTTCTTACCGGTATATAATAAGTCCTTTATTAAAGAGACTACCTTCCAATATATACAACGTATAAAGCGTAAGGACATTGTTAAGCGCTATAGGCTTAGAGCTACTACAAAGGAGCTGTTTGAGCGTAGTTAGACTGTTTATAATATCTCTAGCCTCCTATAATAACGCCCTTAGAATGTCTCTCGCATTGTCTATAAGATAATCACTCCTACTAAATCTAGGCTAATATTATTACCTCCGAAGCGACGAGTGCGCTTCCTGCTAGATAGTATTAATAAGATACAACCGACTCTAATTAAGAGAGTAACAGAAGCACTTAAAGGCAAGTAAACAACCTCTGCTAACTAACTATTGCTAATCAACTAAATAGGCAATGCTAACTACAAGCGTATAACTTATAGCTAATTTAGAGACTATTTGAACCTACCTTGCTTAGCAAGGACTATAAGACGTATCTATAGAGCTATAGGTTATCGTCGTTGTGTTGCAGTAGTACGACTATAGCTTAGTAAGCGGACCAAAGGCAAGTGTTTGTCTATTGTCTTTAGCATATAATATACTAATAGTCAATAGCAAAGCGCCTATAGTAGGCACTCGCATACCGTACCTAGAAGGCAGGTAACTAGTATAACGTGTCCTTCTCGGACGAGTTTGCCTACTATAGGGGTAGTTATTAACGGCTCTATGTTACTCGTAAACCTAATAAGGTGTTTAATAAGGAATGCCTAGTACCTAAGTTCAAAGAGATACCTTATATTCTCTTTTAGGGTGCTATTTCCGGCCGCACTAGACGCTCCAATATTATTCTATAGCAACGGAAGGAATGGGGTACTATTAATGCTACCTCCTATATTAAGTATATCCTTCCTTCAGTCCTTAAATATATGCGATTAATAGGCGACTAGCTATCTAACGAAGCCCTCGAGAGAGACGTAGGCATACTAGACACTATAGACGACAACGACCTTCTATTTAACCCCTATAAGTATCTTAAATACGTACTCTTCCAATAAGACAACGCTCCTGCCTATAGTACTAAGAAGACTAAAGACTAGCTAACTGTATACGGTATACCCTTTATAGACTAGCCTCCGAACAGTCCGGACCTTAACCCTATTAAGAATGTATAGGCAGCTATTAAGAAGGCACTCTATGCTAGCAGAGTGCCTACTAAACGTACTAATATAGAAGCTAGGGTTATATAGCTATAGACTAATATCGTAACTGTTGACTATATTAGGAACCTTCTTAATAGTATACTAGCGAGGGTTGAAGCAGTAATTACTGCTAATAGCGGAGGCATTCCTTACTAACCTAACCTTATTGTATTTACTTAGATTGGTCTCTTCTATTATCTCCTATATCTACGGAGGTTTGAATGAAGGCATAACTGGCTCTTGTAATTAGCTGCTTTTATACGCGGTATTCAATCCAATTCGATTAGTCTACTTAGCGCTTCTTATATGCTATAATCTTTACTATTAGGCTGCTAGTAGTCTGCCTATTGCCTATAGCAATCAATCTATTACCTACTACAATAGTTAGCAGCTAAGGTTATTCTCTCTTAGCAACGCTAAGCCGCTTTCATATGCTTATAGATAGGCCCTTGTCGATAACTCTAACCTTCATTGTCTCCGAGACAAGGGGGTCACCCTGTACTTCCATCCTCGGTCTCCGACAAATCTGGCGCCTAACAGTTTGAGTTGCCGAATGGGGGAAGAGTGTAGTGGAGTCTGGAGATGGAGATGGAGATGGGATGAATGGAGTAGAGCCTTGGTCCTGTCGAAATTGACCTGCCCTCCTTGCACGAGGAGAGCATTCCTCCAACTCCAAGGACGTGGGGATCGTCTCTCTGTCTTTCCTCGCAAATAGGTACAGCATTGACTGGTGAAGTTGGTCACGGTTTCAACTCAGCACATCTCTTGAACCTAAGATCTCGCACCAGCTACTGCTTGCGAAATACTCTCCTGGAAAGCTTTCCTAGCTTGCTCATAACCAATATTCCGTCCAATAATCACAATCTTGCCATCGACGCCATCGGCAGAACCGTCTTCAACAGCATCGATTAACTCGAATATTTCCCTCACACCTTGCAAGATTTTCAGACCTCCTTCTCGCAGCGGTATGCGTCCTTTGATCCGATGGATCTCCCATTCTGACGAAAGTTCTGCTGCACCGGGTAGCCGTGTCTCCCATAGGGTGGTCCTCAGCCATTCGTCGAGCTTTTCAAGCCCAGATGGGGTCAGGACGGGGAGATGCAAGGTTATGGTGGCTATTGCTGGATTCAGATGACTGTGACCTTTGCTTGCGAATTCGAGGTTTTCGGCAGATACGTTGTCGTATGCGTGAAGATCGAGGATCAAACCTTCAAGTTGCGGGACTTGGGAATGGTCGGTGGTTTCGATTCTTGCCAAAGCATTGATTGAGCGGACACGATCTTGGACGGCTTTGAGTTCGTCGTTCGTGATCAGGTCGGTCTTATTGATGATTAAGATGTCGGCATGTGAGATTTGCAGATGCGCAGTTGATAGGACCGGTCCGATGTGATCGCGATGATCATCTTTGACTGCTTCTTCGCCTTGTGGCGAGTCAAGACTGCGCAAGATGTTTTTGCCGTCGACGAGTGTTACGATGCCGTCCAGATAGATCGTGCTTCCGAGGCCTTCGTCAACCCAAAATAGTGGAGCGATATTGCCTGGGTCAGCTAGGCCTGTAGTTTCGAGCAGAATGTAATCGAAAGCACCTCTGCGTTCCATAAGTGATTCGATCGCGTTCACGCCAGAGTCCTTGACTGAGCAGCAGATGCAGCCGTTCGCGAGGTCGAGCCATTCTTCGGCTTGTTGATCGCCTTGGTTTATGGTAAGGGATTTTTCGATGTCGGTGCTGTTGCCAAATTCTGGAGATCATTGGTTACGGTGTTGAAGAAGAGGGCAATCATTCGTGATAGACCGACCCACCATTTAATATGACAGCAATCTTCTTGCCGTGGCGTGCTGTGAGGATGTAGTTCAACAAGGTGGTCTTTCCAGCTCCAAGATATCCTTCATGCGGTCAGTGGGTGTCCAGCATTGAAGTGTGACGAGAGAAGGCTAGGGATGTATTTGTGAGATCTGAGAAGACATGCTGTCTTGCATCTCGTCCAGATAGCAGAGAAAGAGCAGCTCGAATGTCTCCGATGAGCTGTGATATCGCTCTCTGTATCAAGTTGTATGTAAAGTGCTCGCTAGCGCCCGATCGCAGCATCAGCATATGACCTACCTGTAATAATAGTGATGGGGACTCGAGATAGTTTTACATCCTGCATCTCAGAGCTCAGCCCGGCTTCGACAGCATCCGCGCCATCGGCAGTGACCAGCATAGGTGGCACATCGTCGTCTCCCTCCATATCTGCTTCTAGTCAGGCTGTGTGGAAAAGGGAAGAAAAGGGTGATGTTGGAGAGACGTGCTCGGTGGCCCTTGCAGATCTCAAAATCGGAGCCAGATCCGAGGCGCCGCAACGCCAGGCCAGCCATTCGGGACGCGCATCGACTTTCTCTATGGTTGGCAAACTTTGGGGGCTGGAAACAACAGCACGGCGCAGTGCGAGAAGAGCTGGACGGCGTTTGGAGAGCAGAGAAACATTCATAAACGGCCTGACATGGCGGCCGCAGCCTCGCCGTCGTCGTCACCGCGGCTTCCATCACCACCACCCATAGCAGAGGATCAGATCGGGCCAACATCGCCTGGTGTGTCGCTGTTCGAAGACCAAGACAAGCTGCTGTCGCAGAGCCTTGACGGTGGAGCTTCGCGGCGAATACGCCCCGGCACGAAATCAGAGGATATGACGGAAGGTCCTCCTTTGGTCGAGCTTTCAGAGGCATATACCAGCTCCCAGTATCCGACCATATAGCATGCTGACTTGGAATGTGCAGATCGACACGGCCTTCCAGCTCACAGAACACCTCAAAGCACTGTACTACCACCACACTCACCCACCCGATTCCAACACCACCGTGCCCATCACGGCCGACCTCGCGCGCCAGCTGTGCAGACCACCCGACGCCACCTCCACCGAGATCTGGCTGTACGAGCTGGGCCGCTTCCTCATCCAGAAGACTAATGCCATCATTGTGCACCTCTTCGCCGACGACCCGCCATGCAGTCCACAGACGTGCTCCGAGATGCGAGCCAGCGAATGGCAATATCTATGCGCAGTCCACGACCCACCCAAGAGCTGTTCAGCAATTGATTACTGCTGCCATACCCTAGATTGGGCAGCGACATCTTTGACTAGCAGCAAGATGTTCCCGTCTCGCTTAAATCTGGGCACCGCGGGCATGGGGGGCGGACATGACAAGACTATGCAAGCCCAGCTCAAGGAGATTACAAACATATTCAGACGCGTCTACCGCATCTTCGCGCATGCCTGGTTCCAGCATCGTGACATGTTCTGGCGAGTCGAGGCTAAGACCGGCTTGTACATCTTCTACAAGACTGTGTGCGATGAGTACAACCTGATACAGCCCGAAAATTACACCATCCCACCCGAAGCAGAAGGTCAGGAACCAGACGCATCTCGGGCTGAGAATGAGAAACCACAGGTGCTTAGCATCTTGTCGAGGCCACCCGAGGACATCTCCCTCCCAGATCCAGCCAACACAACCATTGCGCATGGCAATACCACAAAGCGCCATACCCACACCAGGGATCCATCCAGTACGGTAGCCACGGTCATCCAAGAGGAAGCCGAACCGGAGGACGAGGACCCACCACAACCGAAGCGAGGGCTTGACCGCTCGACCACTATCTTATACACGAAGGCAGCAGATCCTGATCCAGAGCCTGTGGCTGAACCGACTAAAACAGAGGAAGATGAAGTACCAACTCTGGGTATCGAGCGCACCGATACCCTCAAGCCGGCAACACCTGAGCCAAAAACGGCTGGCGAAGAGGTCGAGGCTGGAGAGGAGACTGTCATTCTGGCGGAGGCGGAGCAAGATGCTGAACCTAAGCTGGAGCCCCATACAGGTATTCACGTCAAAGTGGAGTCGGTAGATCCTATGGACCCAGAAGAATCTCCCGCTGCCGAGCCGGAAGAAGCTGGCAAAACAGTCGCAGACTGAGCGGGTCAAACCAACCTGCATCCTGTATCTGCGGGGCGCACTTTCCAAGGTCATATTGCCGGACTGGCGCACCGTTTGCTTATATGTAGTCGTTCGTCTACCTTCGGCCACGCGCACTCAAAACGGACATTGAACACATCTTCTGGTCTCAACTGCGTACACGACCTCATATCACAAGTCTTCTGGGCCGAGTTTTGGTAGACTGCAGCGATAGTGTTACTATGACCATCTGTCCCATACGACATCAGCTGCGGACAGTCATAAGACGCTGGAAAAGGCCGTATTTTGACCTTCTCACTCTGGCATTAGAGATACGGCTTTCGATCTATTATGTATGGATGGTCTTCCAGCCACCTACCCTGGATGCAGACGCCAATATTTAGCATCCGGTACTCTATCCCGCCCTACTTTCAATCCGATCTGAGGCCTGCGATGCATAGTCTCACGCTGCTCCACTCGTCCTTTCGCCAAACAACGGCCTCCGCCTCGATCTTGGCAAGATTCCAACCTTCGTGAAATTGCACGACCATGTCTGTCGTGTATTAGAGAGACATCGCATTCGGCTTTTGAATGATGCTGCTGACTTGTTTTTCCCGGCCTACTCAAACACCCCTCTTCTCCCTATAAAAAACACAAATCATCCCCCGATCCCCAACCCCAACCATAACCGTCGCATCCGGACTCCAAGCAATCTGAGAAGTGGCAAAATGCGTCCTGGCCGAAAGCTTTGTGTTGGCGGTCACACTCTCATGAGCTTCGAGGGGGAAGAAAGGATCGCCGAGCGTGTACTCTCGCTCTTCTGTAGCTGCTGTGGTGGTAGATGCTTCGGCTATATGTGTCGTGGTGGTGGGTTAGTATAGAGACATCGAGAGAGGTAGGTAGGTAGGTAGGTAGGTAGGTAGGCATGACTTACGTGTTCCTCGGGATGAACTATCCGCCACGCTCTCGCTTCGTTTTTGTAAGTCGCTAGGTAGTGCGGGGCCTTTTCTTTGCTTGCCGCGTTTCTTGGGTTTGGGGAGGGGTCGGTCTTGAGGATCTATGCCTTCTTCTAATCGCTGCATGTCCCAGAATAGGTATTGAGATTCTTGGTTGCCCATGCATAAGATTGGTCTCACATTGGGGGTATGGAGTAGGCCGAATCGGTGGTAGAAGCGGTCGGTGTGCGGGATCTTGAAGGTAAGAAGACGACGGAATCCCCGAAATTTCTCGTCGTGCGGGAAAGAGGATCTTGTTTGGTGGCCTGGTTCTGGGATTGGGGGTTCTTCTGGCGGTGGATCATCGGAGTCGAAGCCATCGATTTTCCAAAGGAGAATTTCATTCTGGTTGCCGCCTTTCTTTTTGTCGCTGTCCGCAGCCCTGGCTGCTTTGGAGAGGATGAGGTCGTGATAGAATGCGAAGCAGTCCACATAGTTCGGGTGTAATTCTTTGGAGAAGAAGTGCGGGTAGTAGACGATCAAGGGTTCACTGGCTCTGCTAGAGTCTTCAGCTCGTTCCAATTCCTCCCACCCAGGCACGGCCCAAAGGCATACTGCTGTGTCGATACCTCCCGAGAGGAGCCACCTTCCGTTCGGATGAAAGTGAATGGCAAGGACGGGTGCCCGATTCCCTGCTCCACCAAACAATGCAACACAGGGTTGTTTTTCGAACCGCCGCGCCAAGTTCCACAGCCTTATCGTTGCGTCGTCCGCACATGATGCTAGAAGGTCTGTTGACAATGGCGAGACTGCGAGATCATTGATGCCCTTTCCATGACCGGTGAGAGTGCGCACGGGCTTTCCAGTCTCAATGCTCAGAATTTTGATGTGCTTTGGTTCGGAGCCCGCGATACAGAGCCATGGAGTTCCCGTTTCGGGACACTTCGTCCACACAAGGCTGTTGTAGGAAGCGTCGGCCTGCGCTTATGTGATTAGTGGCACTCGGGAAACTCGTCATATGAAAAAAAAAAGCCGGAGCTACTCACATCCTTGTCCCGAAACCACCTCAATATCTCAAACGGCGGGTCCGCGCCGCGCTTTGGACGACATACGACCGTCTGCGAAGGTCAGATAATGTATCCGTGGAAATAATCGAGTTTGGCGCACGTACATCAGTGGATCCCGTGAAAGCAAAAATCTGCTCGTCGTCTTCAGTGCCGTAAGGGTAGAATTTCACGTCGAAGATGGTCTCATCTGATGGTTCTGTTGATAAGCGGCAGACGTAGAGATGATATAAAGTGAGCGCCTCGCCTACCGTTCATCCATTTGGTGCAGCAATCTAGCTTGGGAAAGACCTCGTGCGTGTGTGAGGCCATTTCCGTGTTGGTGCGCTATCGGTATCACTGCGCTTTCCTGACACCTCGCCACGATGTTTTTTGTTTTTGCGAGCATCAGCTATCTGTGACTGTGAGCACGAAGGAGCGACCGTGGCGCGGCGCCAGAGTGCCTGTCGCTGTCGAGGGTGCTGCTGGAAGTTTACCCTGTTGGTTCTACAGAGTCTGGCCGGTCATGCAAAACAGGGTCGGCTCAAAAGCTTGGGAAAGCCGAACCTCGAGCACGAGATCCTTCGAGAACGCGAATCGGCATATATTTTTGAATACAGATGCATTTTGTCGTTATCATCTACGCTACGTATCTGATCTATATCTTCTAGAAGTATTGGAAAAGGTACATACTCTATGTTCTGTAGGGAGAAATCGCGACAAGAAGAGGGTAAGAGGATTTAGCTAGATCTCAACGAGTATCTCTAATAGGGCTCTATACTAAACGCAAAACGACCGTTCCAGTATGGACGAGCATTTCAATATACAAAACGTACTATTTCGATAGATAGGCCCGTTGAGTTAAGGAATCGCATTGGCGAGGGCTCGGCTTTCCTGAAGTTTTGAGCCGATCGGACTCATCAGTACGGAGACAGCACGCGGGAATAACTGCCGTGAAGACCAGCGTTGCTACAAGCAGCTTTGGCAGCGAAGCAAAGCAGGACTCGCCTTTGGCCGGACTTCACAGCGATGCGGCAGTGCTATCGAATGCTGCGGATAGCCGTTGAAACGCCGTTGAGCGTGCACGTGCGAAGGTCACACAGCGAGTTCAATCGACGATGAATGCGAAGTTGTAGGAGCTAGACGTGGACCCGTAGCGGTAGCGGTGGCCGGGCGGATGATCAATGCATGAGCGACCGGGGTGTTAATGCTTGGTGCTGCAGTGGAAGGCTTCATGTATGGTGTTGCACGCCGGCGAGAGGACGGTGGTGCGCTTTGGATTGAGCCTTTCCTTGACCTATGAAGGCTGACAAGTTGGTATGCAGATGTGCAGGCCGGCAGGTGCAGTCGACGGGCGTGAGCCTAGTTTTCGGGAGCAATAAGGTATTCTAGGGTGCTGGGGTATGATCAGGTGAAGGTTCTGTAGAACTGCTAATATGTAGGTAGGTGGCGGCCTCCTAATCCGTGGAAATTAGCGACTGGCGAGCTCATTACGTGCTACCAGCATCCCGCTAGGACTGACGAATCATCAAGGGAGGGAATATAGCAGCGCGCGAGGAAAGAGTAGTAACTAGGGGCGGAGGAGTCTGTGAAGGTGCTTAGTAGTAGCGAGCAGGTGCTAGTCGAGGGCATACTATACTATGGCGGCGGAGCAGAGTCTTGTAGGGATGTTTATTTGGGTTAGAGAGCAAAAGGTATGGGCTTTGTAGGCCAGGCAAAACATACATTATTGGAGCGTAGTCTAGTAGTCGCGGGGACGGGAGACAGGCAGCCCTGCAGCAGTCGTCTGAGACTCTGAGAGCGGGTATGCTGTTGCCAAGATTGGCGCTGCACCGCACGCGTTGCGTTGGCGCTATACAGCAGACGTCAGGCTTCAGCAGAACGGCCTGCAGCCTTGGAAGTTGGAACAATACCATGTGTGGCCTGAGGGTGATGAGCGTCAAGGCGATGCGTGTTGCAGCGGTGGTCGTGGCATTCCTCGCGCGCCTGACCCGTTCGTTTCCTAATAAATTCTCGGCAGCGGCTGCCGCAGGGCTGCGTCATCGTGCACGGACGCTTTTCCACGGACCCCTCCACACGGAGCCCTCAGGCAGAACCACGTGACACGCTGACACTTCAGCACGTCTGCGACACAACGGTCCTGCTGCTGCTGCTATACCCGCATTACGGACTCACCCACACCCACACCCACACCCACACCCACTGCACTTCTACCAACTCCAGCTCCAAGAGCGTTGCTTCTCACGCCCATCTCACGCACACGATTCCAATAACCGCGCCCTGTGCCTGTCTCTCACGTCCAAACTCCAACCTGACCAGGCACCGCACCTTATTAACCTTAACCTTCGCCGCTCCCCCAGCACTTGCCTGGCCCGCAATTGACTTTGGCACGGCCGTTGCCATCATCCACGTTGCCTACGACGAATCAGCAGCCAGGAACAGCACCAGGCCTCTGCTCCCGCTTAAGCACCAGAACCTTTATCGACCAGCGAGTCCGAACTCCACCTCGCCCTGGTCCGGCAGAGCTGTACTGCCCTCGCCGTCGACAAAGCAACCTTTGCGACCGCCGCCGACCAGTCTTCACGCTTAGCCTGCCCGCTGGCCATGTGCTGTCGCCGCTGACTCGGCACGACGTTCTGTTTCTCCATCTCCTCCCCCAACTGCCAGCACTGCCTCCATTGCCGTCGATATGGACACCACTTTCATTTCCATTCATGGTGAGCCGTGCAGCAAGCGTGCGCCTCTCCACACTATTCACTCACCCGCCGCCCAGATCTGACCGACAACGCCACCATCCTGTACTCCTCCGACTCCGTCGTCGACATCTTGGGCTTCACGCCCGATGAAATCGTCAACCGTTCCGCATGGGACTTCTTCCCGGAGGACGAGCTGCCAGCGGCCCGCAAGTTCCACCAGAAGCGTGTTGCCACCGACAAGGCTGCCGTGCTGGCCTACATCCGCGTGCGCAACGCTGATGGTCAATGGATCGGCTGCGAATGCTGTTTCACCATCGTCTACGATGTCATGGTCGTCTGTACCAGTGTCTATCGTCGCGGACTCAGATCTGACAGTAAGTGACTATCGTGCCTGCCTGCCTGCGCGCCATAGAATCCATCACTGACGTGACTAGAGCGAGCCCTCGAAGCTCCAGTGGTACGACGCATTTTCTCCTCCTCGCCGAAGGACCCCAGATACCACATGTTGTCACATCTCTCGGCCAAGTTCTCGCTGCCTGCAAAGAAGCAGCAGCACGAACCGCGAGCAGCCCTGTTCCTGAATCGATTCACGCGCACCTTGACCATTATGTACGCCACTAGCGGTCTTGCCGAAGTCATTGGCATACCAGCGGAAGCCATGCGCGGCCGAAGCTTCTATTACTGCATCTCGGAGAATTGCCTGCAGGATGCGGTCAAGTGCCTCGAGAATGCCAAGGGTAACGACTCCATCGCCTACCTTCGCTTTTGGTTCAGAGATCCTCGCCTCGACGACGAAGAGGCCGCCTCTGACGTGAGTGACGAGGAGATGACTACGACCGACACCACCAGCGAAGAAGGCGGCGTTCATCTCCGTGCCGCCGAAACACCGACTGACACTCAAGCTGGAGCCATGGACATCGATAGTGACGAGTCCAGGCATTCTTCGGGCGACAGCACTCGCAACGCCGATACCCACGAAGCAATCTTTGGCCAGGCAGCTCGCGCTGAGTCGTCCACATCGTCCTTGGCGCCTTCTCCAGAGCGCGAGAGAAGGTCGCCTCAAGTACAACGCGATCCAATCGAGCTCGAAGCCGTCATCTCCTGCACCTCCGACGGCCTTGTGGTGTGTTTGAGGAGAGCTCGCCCCATGATTCCACACCCTACTCAGCGCCCATCACAGCCCGTGCACCACAGGGGCTTCTTTGCCGCTCCTTGGGCCTTGGAGCCAATGCTGCCACCAATGGAAACCAGAGCCGCCGCTGGCTACGGTACTGGGTTCGCGCCATCCCTCGGCCCACATGGTGCTCGCAAGGGCACTTCAACTGTTTCGTCATCCGCCGGACCAGATCAGATGGACTTCATGGCTGCCATCCGCGAACAAGCTGTCTTTGCTTGGGCGCTCACTGGGATCAATGGAGTTTTGGCTGATTATGCCCATGGCAAGCCAAGCGGAGAGTCCTTGCCATCAGAGGGCCTCCCTGTGTGGTCTAGCGACCCACGTGCTCAACCAAACAACACCAAGGACCTACCTGGCCTTGGCGATGGCCCTGGACCTCGTGGCCCTCAGATCTTCGGCGACCCTGGGCTCGTTAGGAGCAGCAACAGTGGTAGCCACGGCATGGGCAGCAACAGCGGAGCGAATAGCTCTGGAAACACGCCATATTCTGGACCGCGCTGAACTGCCGCGCTCGATTCTCAATACCAACGAGACGACGATGAATGACGACCCGGCTTCCAACGTCGGTATGCATTTGCTTACTTTGCTCCAGGCTGTTGCTTTAGACAGCCTCTGCTTTGATTTTGCTCGCTAGGCGTTCTGCCTCGAGTGTGCCACTGACGAAGCGATGAGACGAACGCAAGATACCACGAAAGAGAGAGTTGCTACAGCATTTTAGCGTGTATGATTTGTTCGGTCACGGTATACCACTCTGCGAAGAAGTGCGAAATGATGGCTGCTGGGCCAAAAAGGAAGGGCAGCTGCTCGGGCAATTCGCTGCCGGTGCTAGAGGGATAGTTCAATTCCAAGAAAGCGAGATTCTCTCCAAGAGACGTTAGACCTATCATTAGCATTCATGTTCAGTGTCAAGTAAGAAGTCCACAGGCGCGGATGCAGAGCTTCGTGATTGGCTTTGCTTGCCGCGCGGAAGGCACAAGCCAACCGAGCCTTGACGGGAAGTGATGTAACCTGGCCTTGCTCCTCAAATGCTTTACACTTTCATGTCACAAACGAGCAGAAAGATCGTTGAGACAGGGCAAAAGCAGAATGACAGAAATCACTGCTGATTTCAATGTCTGCCTTAAGGAGAAAGGAGGCCAAGTAGTATTGAAGAAAGAATACGATATTCACACCATCAACTCTTTCCTTCAAGAGGCATATGCCATAGTATGAAGAACTTCTGGCAGAGTGACCTGGCATTTTCTGACCATTCTCTAGAACACCCACATTACTGACCTGATACGCGATTTGCGAGCCAAACGACCTGCCTATCTATCTGCTGCCCCACCCTCACGACGACGACAACAAGTTGGGCCAGGACCGGACGGCAATCGTGCCCGACCTCTGACAGACCGTGAACGTGACGCTTTCGACGCCGAGACAAAACGACTGCTGAAGCAACTTAGCGGCGCGATCACAGCTTTGAAGCAGGTCGAAGATGCCAGGAACGAGGCAGCGGAGGTGGTGGCACTTCGGAAAAGAGCAAGAGGTGGACTAGGTGGTTTGGGAAGATGGGCAGCAGGTGGCGCGGTGACGGCCAAGTCTCCTGAGGAAGAGATGGAAGAAGCGGCGCGCAAAACAATCTCTGCCGTTCGCGAGAGCGTGATTCTATATTTACAGACCAAACTGAAAGATGCCAGTTCCATCCAGCAGGAAATGATGGACGCGCGATTACGCAGAGCAGAAGAGAAGGCGAAATCCATCCTCGCCAAATCCACCGTTGGCGCAAATGTCCAACACGCGCTCGACGAGCAAGCAAGCACAGTGCATCGAAGTCAGGATCCAGACGCAACAGAAACTCTAACTCCCGAACAACTCCAAACCTTCCAATCCGAAAACCACGAACTCCTCAAACACTACGAAACCCAACTCGACCAAGTGCGCACCGCTGAGCGCTCCATTCTCGAAATCTCGGAACTCCATACCACGCTTCACGCCAATCTTTCCCAGCAAGCGGAACAGATTGAACAGCTGGTGCAGGACTCGTATTTGACGACGGAGAATCTTGGGAAGGGGAATCAAGAGCTCAAGCGAGCGAGTGAGAGGAGGAGTACGGCTCAGGCGCTTTTTTGGTCTTCGGCTGCTTTTTGTTCGGTGCTAGTGATTTGGGATTTGGTTTTTTGATGGAGGAGGAGGGAAGGAGGGAGGGAAGGAGGGAGGGAGAGCTCTATAGGAATGTGTGGATCTTGAAAATCTCCATTATACTAGCATCGCCAAATGCACAAGAGCTATAAACAAGGAATCAAAAATTTCCGCCCGCTACTGTTTAATGCTCTTGCATGTGCACTTGCAAACCACCGACTAACGCTACGCAGATTTCTCTACTAGTTCCAAATTCCTATAGCAACTATACATACCTTTGAAGCACCTTGATTATTCTATAATATCTCCAACCCTCCTTAGCTTAACTACTATACTATATATACTTTTAACTAAGGTTTCTCTACTATATAGCAAATCTCCTCCTCTAGTAACTTAACCTTCTAATAAGTTCTTCTTCTTCTTAGAAATCTTAAAAAATCCTAGTTAGACTTCTTATTCTTCTTCTTATTCTACTTTTTCTTCTTTTTCTTCTTTTTTCTTTTTTTTTCTTTTTCTTCTTCTTTTTCGACGCTCTAGAATTAAAAATAGAAATTTATAAAAAATTCCTCTAGTATAGGTACTAGGTAGTTTCCCTCTATTCTTATTTATAGTATACTAAAGAGGACTTAGAGTCGTTCTATCTAGACTTCGGGATATTTGCTACTAGTAATAATAGGTTATAGATTACTAGCTAGTTAGGACTCTCCTACTATACTCTTTATATAAGAAGGGTTATATTAGTAGGTAGATAGGGTAGTAGTAGGTACAAGTAGTATTCGATAAGGAGCTAGGAGGAAAGGGAGGAAGGCAGGCAAGTTAGCCTATTACTAAGCGCTAAGCCCTACCTAAGGCACTAAGACCCTAGCTCTACCTAGCCTAGTTGTGTACCAATTACGTATAGCCTCTTTGGCCCTAACACACGCTTCCCTTCTAGAGGCCGCGCCCTCGTAGCCTATCTACATTCTACGACCTCTATTGCCGCTAACTTAGTAAGTCTAACAAGCCACTTAGCCCGCGTTAAATTAAACACTTAACTACCTAATTATATAACTATATCAAACCTTACCTCTAATATAACACAATGTCTAAGTCTAACTACGCTATCCTTGTATGTAATAAAGTAGTATATAACTACGAGAATTAAGGGCCTTCGACTAGTTGTAATACGAGCGCGTCTTCCCTACTATAATAGGTAGACATACGAGGTATTATAGCCCTACCTCCGTTCTAGGTAATGTCGTACCGAGTTCTTTACGTCTACTCTTAAAAGACCTAGCAATGTCCGCTTCCGAGGGTTGTTCTTGTTATTACGAGGGCTATTATCTACTGTCGTAGTTTTACTAGCCCTAATTAGTTAGGTTTAGTAGCCTTTAATTATTAATCTTATCTTATCTTTTAAAAAACACAGCTCGTCTAGTTTCTATAAGTAAAGGCTATTATAAGTGTAGTAGCAGAGGTTTGCCTCGCTTAAAGGGTTAGATAGATCGAGGAGTAACCTATTGTCCGTAAGATCGACCCTAGCTAGCTTAGCTCTATAGTTTTTGCTTTTAGTTAGTCTATTAGTCGCTTAATCTTTTAGGCGGCTTAAAGTTTTAATTAAAGTTTTAATTAAAGGTGCCTTAGGCTCGTAGTGCAGGTAAGGTTATGTCTGTAGGCGTAGTAATAGTAGCAAGTAATATTAACAATAGCGGCGCTAGTCGTCTTAGCGTTAACTTTACCTTGCTTTCGATTTCCTTCTTCGACTAATAATACACTCTATAATACTGTTACTAATATAGCCGCGCCGGCCGTGTCGCCCTTTAGTATAAGCGTAATACCGTCGTTACTATTATTATTACTAACACTATCCGCCTACGCGCGCGCGCCGCCTCTGTCGACCGCCTAGGCCTTAGGGCTCCGATAGGACGTAGGAATAAGAGGGGCGCTAAGAGGAGGACCTTATAAGGTATACTAGTAAAGAGGTAGATTCCTTAAAAGAGCAGGCGATTAGTTAACAGTTATAGTGCGCTCGTTAGTACTCGTTGCGCGTTCGTTATCGTAGTATAGTCTTATTATCCTTTGCTAACAATTGCTTGCCTCTAATTAGTTAGCTTAATAGCACCCCGGGGGTAGTATTGTTCCTAGGCCTTTCTAGTAACATTATAGGCCCTTAGCCTTCTTCTTGTTCTTTACGCTAGTCTAATACTTATCTAACAACTCGGTTATGTCTTTAAAGGAGTCTTTAGCTTCCTATAAGTCCTATTCTAGTAAATAGCCCTACTATCTTAGTAGGTACTCCTTCTTGCCTTGCCTAGTCTAGTGCTTTAGGATACGTTCTATAGACTATAGCTCTTTACTATTAGCTAAGACTTCTTCTAACTTAGTAGGCGCTTTATCGCCTTTACGCTAGTAGTATAGTTTAAGGAGGGATACGTAGAAGGTGTTATAGATAGTATAATAAGGTAGAAGCTACAACTAATAGGCCTATGCGGAGGAGCCCTTAACCTCTCGAATGCGGAATAGGCTAATATATCTTAGTGCAAGCTTAGGCCTTGTTTTGCTATTAGGTAATAGGTGCTTGCGAATGCGGAGGTTCTTAGTGCTTAGTATAACTATATCGCCTTATTTAAAGGTTATTAGTATATAGCGCTTATCGTAGTAGGTCTTTTAGTACTCTTAAGCCCTTATTAGCTTCTTAGCTATCTTAGTATAGATTTCTCGTATCTTCTAGATACGTTCTATTGCCGCTAGTATCTCTAGTACTTAACGCGCTTCCCTTTCCTTACGCTCGGCCTCGAGCGATAGTAGGTCTTATAGTATAGCAGCGTTCTAGCCTATTATAGCTATGTATAGTAATACCTTAGTCGATAAGTAGACACTATTATTATATACGAATTTAGCTAGTTATAGGAGGTTGACCTAGTCGTTAGGGTTCTCGTTAATATAACTGCGTAAGTACTACTATAGGGTAGCATTCTACCTCTCTGTTTAACCGTTAGTCTATAGATAGAAGGCTGTTAATAGCCGATACTTTAGTCTTAGCTATAAGCAAATCTCGCTCTAATAGTAAGATATTAGTATCGATCTACGATCGGATACGATCCCCTTAGAGGTTCCCTAATAGATATAGAAGATGTTAGTCTATAGCGCCTCTACTATATTAATAGCAGTCTAATCCTTACGCGCCGGGATATATCGAGCGCCTTTAGTAAATCGATCTACTATAACAAGGATAGCATTATACACATCCTTGCTACCTCTACGCTTAGTAGGAGGAAGGCCTATAATAAAGTCTATTATTAGCTTAGCAAATGGCTTCTTTAGAATCGGGAGCGAAGACAACTCGCCGAACGGTAAGTACTTCGGTGCTTTAACTCGCTAGTATACTATACAGGTCTGTATATACTCCTTTATATACCGTTTACTATTTAGCTAGTAGTATATACGCGATAGTAGCTCGTACGACCTCTCTATACTATAGTAACTAGCGAGCTTACTATTATAGTGCCTCTTTAAAAGCTCTTGTCTAATCGATTATTTAGCGGGGACATAGTATCTGCCCTTAAACTTTAAGTAACCCTTGTCGTCGATCGACTAGTTGTTACTCTTACTAGATCGAGTCGTTCGCCTACTTACAAGCCTATTAATACGGTTAATAGCAAAGGCGTCCCTCTACTAAGCCCGTAACAGCTTATTTATAAACGATTAACTATCCCTATTTGCAAGGTTATTTAATAGTACCCTCGCTATTAAACGAGGTACGTATTATATGTATCTAATAGCACTAGTAGCTAGAACTACTATAACCTCTTCTATAGTGCTATCGCTATATAGACTATTACTATAGATAGCAATGTCCTTAATCGAGTTATTATAGCTCGAGCGATCTACGTCCTTTCTAACGCACACTAGAAGAACGACAACTCCGCTATAGTATTTGTTACCGCCGCGGGGTCCGGAAGTCCGCTTATCCTACGCTTGCTTATTAACAATATAGGCTATAGCAATCTTATACTATAGGGTTAGAAACAAAGAATTAATATATTAGGTCTCGCTGTCGTAATTAGGTCGCCTCGATAGGCTATCGGTAGGGTTACTTACGCCTAGCTAGTATAATATATTAAAATCGAACCCGGCGAGGTAGACCGTTACTATAGACGGCCTATCTAGCCTATCGACCTATAACCCTAGTAACCTTAGTAATACTACGGAGGTTGTTATAGTCTGTATAGACCTGTATTATATATTAAGCCCTATCGAGGTAATGCCTCTAATACTTAAAGGCCTCGATAATAGCTAGGAGCTCTTACTTGTAGGTCTCGTAGCGACGTTTAGCATTAATTATCTTCCTCGAGAAGAAGGCAATCGGGTGCTAGTAGGTGTTATTAGCCTATTGTAATATAATAGCTAATATAGCGAACTATAAAGCGTTAGTCTTAATTCGGATCTGCTTACTTAGTACGAAATAGTATAATAAGGGGACTTTAGTAAATCGCTTCTTTAGACCGTTAAAAGCGGGTTGCGTTTTGTTAGTCTATTTGAATTCCCTAGACGGGTTAGCCTTAGTTTTAGTAAGCTTAGTTAGGGGCATTACATGCCGTAAATAGCCCTTAATAAAGCGGCGGTAGAAATTAGCGAAGCCGAGGAACGATTAAAGCTCCTTAATAGACGTAGGAACAGGCTATTTAGTAATTGTTTTAATCCGATTAGGATCAGCCTTAATACCCTCGGTTAATACGAGGAAGCTAAGGAAGGACACCTCTTTAGTAGCAAAGGTGTATTTAGAAGGTTTGTAATATAGTCTATAGGCTCGTAGGCGGTCGAGGACCTTACGCACTACGGCCTAGTGTTCTGCAATATTAGGTAAATGTGTATAAACTAGGATGTTATCTAGGTAAACTATATAGAGATAGTCTAATAGGCCCGAAAGGTCCCGATTAATATAGGACTAGAATGTTGTAGGGGCATTAGCTAGCCTAAATAGCATAACTAAGTACTCGAAATAGCTATAGTAAGTGCGGAAAGCTGTTTTCTATTTATTACCCTTACGGATACGGATACGATAGTATATATCCTTAATGTCTAATATAGTATAGTAGTAGGTACTAGAGAGGCGATCGAGGGTCTTATTAATAAGCGGAAGTAGACAACGGTCCTTAATAGTAATAGTATTAAGTCTACGGTAATTAATATATAGGCGTAGGCTACTATCCTTCTTTAGTACGAATAGAATAGGTGCACTAGTAGGACTGTTACTATACCGAATACGACTATTAGCTAGGTTTTCCTCTAGGTACTTACGTAATATAGCAAGCTCTCGCTTACTAAGGTTATAGAGGGGGCTAAAAGGAACCTCCTTACCCTCTATAATATTAATCTTATAATCCGTCTCTTTAAACATAGGCAATGTCGATGCTAAGTAGTGTTCAAACACATTAACACAGGTTTCTCGAATAGGCACTAGTATACGAGAGAGCTAATTAGGGTCTATGCTATTAGGGGGTATAGGTTTATCGTTATCTCTACTAAGAAGATTAGCTATCGGATTAGCTAAGGCAGGTATTAGGTTGCTAATAAACAGGACCCTAATATTATTAGGACACTCGCTAATATCGATATATTTAATGTCCTCTCTCCTAGCGATTCTAAATCGCTATTATTAACTGCCTAAGTCTATAACTATAGCATAGTACTTAAGAATAGGGTTGCTAATAACAATATCGGATAGGAGGCTGTCTATGTCTACTATATAGGCAGTAAAGTCTAGTAAGCGTTTATTGCCGAGGTCGTCTTTTAGAACTATAGGAATATAGTAGGCTCTATAGGTTAAGTGCCGAGCGTTATTAAACTAAGCAAGGGTTAGTATATTAGTTCTAGGCAATTATCGGAGGTCTAATTGCTTAGCTAGGCGGTAATTAATAAGGGCGCTAACCGAATTTCCTAGATCTAGCATAACCTTAGTCTTGTAGTTGTCTCTATATATGTCCTATATAAGACAGGGGCGTATAATAGCTAGTATAATGTCGATAGTTTTACGCTATACGAGGCTAATAGTTAGTACGGCGCTTACTCTTTTTTCGACTAATTAGAGGGGCCGATAGGGGTAGCGTTAGCCGCTAAGAGGTACTTTCGGTATTTAGCGGAAGTACGGTTAATTCGGGCCTAGTCCTTAGGTTTGTCGTATTAGCCTAGTAGATAGCTAGTACTATTACAATTAAAGCACTTCAATCCGGTTAGTAGACTGCCGTAGCTATTGTTATTGTTAGTAGAACGGTTAGTATTGTAGGGATACGAGCCCCTTCTACGGCCCCTATTACGGCCTCCTCTATATAGCCGCCGGCTACGGCCTCTCCTACGGTCGTTACTATTCCTATTATTAGTATTGTTATTATAGTAGGAACCTTAGTTTCCTCCGCGGCTACTACGGTTGCTACGGTTAGTACTAGTTAGTCGGATCCTTAATTCTAGTCGTTATTAGAGCTAAACAGCCCGTTCGGCTGTTTCTACTTCGACTATAAATTAAATGCGTATTAGATTAGCTTATTCGAATATACGGCGACGGTCTAATTCGAGGATAAGCTCCTATCTAAGTTTTAGGCGTATCTCGGAGATCTATATAGAATTAGTCTTAGGCGGAAGGTCGTCTTTAAGGGTTTTTAAATAGGCCTCGAATAAGCGGGCCGATTAGTCAGTCTTTTACTTAGCTCGAAGGTACTAGTCCTAAGCATATTGTTGCCTTAGTATAGGGTTTCTAAGGGTATCTAGCATAATAGTTTTATAGGTCTGCTACTAAACAGCGGTCTAATCGTTAAGGGAGTTAAAATAGTTATCCTATATACGCTTTAGGTCGCTATTAATGTACTATATAGCGTGTACGACTAAGGAATAGTCGTCTAGTAGCGCTCTTAGTGCGTTGCGCTAGTTAAGTTTATAGTTACGAATATAGTCGTTATACTACTTCCGACTAGAGCTATTAAATACGGTATAGTCCTTAAGTTTAGCATCCTTCTTTTAGATAGGTAGTAAAGAAGGTCCTGCTATTAGCTTAGTAGTAGTTGTTAGAGATTCCTAGAGGCGGCGAATCTCGAGAAGATTATCCTTTAGCTATTATTCTTAACGTAAGGTAGTAAGCCTGTTTTAGGTAGCTTCTTAAAGCCTCGCTACTAGCTAAGGGCTAAAGGCTAGTTAGCTATATCGACGGTTAACAATATTATTAAGAATGTCGTCGATAGGCAATTCTAGGTCGTTACCTAGAATTATAGGTTCTTCTTTAGCAGGTCCTATAGTAGGCTCTTCGGTAGGAGGCACTTTAGCAGGTGCTTTAGTAGGCACTTTAGTAGGCACTATACTACTAGCGTTGTTATTGCTAGCGCTACTAGCGGTAGTATGGTTGTTGTTTCGTAATAAACCGGCTATTATAAGGGGCGACACTAATAATGTGTTATTAGCCTCTAAGATACGGATATAGCGGAATTAGTAGGTATCGGCTTAGTATGCTTAACTTAGTGTAATAGGCCGTATAGAAGGCCTTGCTTAATAATTAGTACGGTTGCTTCGATAGAATAGTATATATAGGTCCCGTTCTTCGGGCGCAATATAGTTAGATTAGTCTTATCCGTAGCTATACCGCTAAAAGCTTGAAATAAGGACTATCTAGCTACTGCCCTTAAAGGGTGGATCGAATACTATATAAGACGGGTATATTAGTAGGTAGATAGGGTAGTAGTAGGTACAAGTAGTATTCGATAAGGAGCTAGGAGGGGAGGGAGGAAGGTAGGCAAGTTAGCCTATTACTAAGCGCTAAGCCCTGCCTAAGGCACTAAGACCCTAGCTTTACTTAGCCTAGTTATATGCTAATCACGTATAGCCTCTTTAGCCCTAATACCTACTATACTCTTTATATAGTAGTCGAAGACCTAGTAACTAGAAGAACTAGTACTAAGCTTCTAAGAAATCTCTAGTATATTTTAGTAAGAGTCTTTAGTAACTTTAGTAACTAGGACCTACCTATAACCTACTATATCTACTAATATACTATATACTACTTCGTTAACTACTCTAATATTATAATCAATATAGATCTATCTAGCTAATATAATAATAACTAATCTACGTCTAGTATATATAGAATTAAATATAATTTTACCTAGGGATTAAATAGCGGACTAGTTATAACTAGTTATTAGGAGCTAAGTGTTATAATTATTCCTAGGGGGAGGTTGTTCTATTTATAGGTAGATAATAACACAATAGCTTCTTACAATACCGCACGGGTTACGGAACTAACTGCTAGTTTGTTAATAGGAGTTGCGTAGTAGAGGAGTAATATTGTTTGTTTGAGGGTGTTATAGACTTATAGTTAGGTAGGAAGGCTTTTAATCTTTCAACTAGTCGTATGTGAGACGTGGGGAGGAGATGGTATGGATTTGAGGGGAGGAGGTGAGAAAGGGCGAGATGGTGGAAGAATTGTAGACAGAGGTACGAGTGAGCCTACCACAATTGCATTGCATTGCATTGCTCTTTCGGTCGGTCAGCTTCTACTGAGTCGATGAGCGCCAGGCTTCACACCATTCCCATGCTGAGTTTTTACACATATACACGTAGCTGTATCATGCAGCCCTCCGCCCCAATGGCGTTGAGCCGCTGTCGATTTTTCTTTTCCTCATTCATCCTCTCATGTCATTCAAGTCAAGTTCTTCCAGAGCCGTTCTTTCTATGAAGTCTCCCGCACCACGCTGTCGACTGACTTGGCAAAATAGTCAATGTTCTTGGTGTTGAGACCAGCCATGCTGATACGGCCGTTCTTGGTCATGTAGATGTGGAATTGCTCGCGCAGCTTGGCCACCTGCTGCTCGTTCAAGCCAGTGAAAGAGAACATACCGATCTGATCGATGATGTGATTCCAAGTCCCGGGAGTGCCCATCTCATTGAGCTTGGAATGGAGAGCTTTGCGCATCTCAATGATGCGACCAGACATGGTGCGCAGATCCTCTTCCCACTGCGCGAAGAGTTTGTCGTCGTTGAGTACGAGTGAGGCAATGCGAGCGCCGTAAGCAGGTGGGTTGGAGATTTCGGATCGCTGGAGAATGGCCAGCTGGCTGCCGACGCGTGCCACCGTCTCGTTGGCGTGCTGGCCGGGAGCAGTGATGAAGTGGAAACAGCCTGCACGCTCGCCGTAGAGACCGAAGTTCTTGGCATATGATTGGGCGATGAGAAGCTCAAATCCTTGCTCGACGAAGTAGTTGATTGCCCAACCATCCTTTGCGAGCGATCCTGAGGCGAATCCTTGGTATGCCGTGTCGAAGAATGGGAACTGGTGTTTCGCCTTCATCACCTCCGCAATCTGCTTCCATTGTTCTTGTGTTGGGTCAACTCCGGTGGGATTGTGTGCGCATGCGTGAAGCAGGATGATGGCGCCCTCAGGAGCCTTCTTAAGCTCGCTGATCATGCCATCGAAGTCGAGACCTTTGGTCTTCTTGTCAAAGTATGGATATGTCTTTACTTGGAGGCCCACGTTGCCAAAGATCTGGTTGTGATTTGCCCATGTTGGGTTGCTAACGTACACTGCCTTCGCTTCACTGTTCGAAGGGTGGTAGAACTTGGCAAGGAAGAGACCACCAAGATGGACTGCACCAGTGCCTGAGATGGTCTGGAACGAGACTGCCCGCTTCTCAGCAATAGCAGGAGAGCTCTTGCCAAGGATGAGCTTCTGTGAGGCGGATGTGAAGTCGGCGAGACCAGCGATTGGGAGGTACTCGTGGTTGAGGTCTGGGTCATTGCGAAGGATCTCGTCGGCCTGAGATTCCCATTAGTGAGTTGGAGTCATTGAAACTTGTGATGCATGCAGCCGATGCCCGATCACGATCTGATCATCGTAGAGCTCATATGACAACGCCTATACCGGGCCGTCGAATGGCCTTACCTTCTTGACAACTGGCAACACCCACGGCTTTGCGTTGTCGTCTCTGTACGCTCCAATGCCCAAGTCGACTTTCTTTGGATCAGTGTCTCTGCGGTAGGCGGCCATCAGTCCAAAGAGCGGGTCTTCTGGAGCTTGAGGGCACACATCGCTGGTGAACGACGTGGCCACGCTTCCGTTGCTAATGCTCCCCATTTGGCCTTGGAGTTGTTGTAATCGTTGGTTTGGCGGTGAGTTGTTTGTTGTATTTGTAGAGGTCATCTTTCCAAGTTTCAATTGGTGTTTCAAGGCTCTGGGGAACGTCGGGCAGGTGCGGCGCGCGGCTGCTGGACCCTTGTCGACGCGCGGTTCTGGTATTGGCCGTAGCTTTGCGTCTGGAGACTGGGGTCGCGAGGAAACGGGATGTTAGGTAATGGGAAAGGGTTGTGATGGAGAAGTGGAAGGGACAGAGGGAAGTGAAGAAGACGATAGCTTTTGATCATCCGGATCATTATCATTGCATGTGATGATACCACCATCTCCCAGTGTCTCTCTCAGGTACCCGTGCTGAACCACTCGATGCCGAGGCATCTGGCATGTCCCTGATCCGGTCTTTGAAAGCGGCATCACCATCACCTCCCTGGACGAAGTGTCACTCCTCGACTCTGCGTACTGCGTACAGATCAACACATCCCCTTGTCCATCAAGTCGCCCTCCACCGTTCAATTCATACATCAATCCCCCACAGCGATCGCTTGCTTGTGATAACCAAGATGATGGCTTCGCCTTTCATGTCGGTAGCTTGTCGGTACACTTCAGTGGCTGCGATATGAGCCTTCAGCTGGTCTTCGAAATGATCGTCATCGCTGTAATGAAGTTTGAACCAAGACATGTGGAGACCTTCTTGCTCGGAGTAGTGAAGATCGACGTCGAACGTGAGATGCTCCTGGTGGACCTGGAAGAAGACATTGCGCAGATGCCGGAGTCGTTCTCCTGCGATATTGGCTGCCCATTTCTGGAGCGCGAAGGTCGTGTGTTTAGTCGAGCGGCCGATGCTGTCTGCAAATCTAACACCGAATTTCTTTGTCTCGTAGAAGACAGGCATCGCTTCTTTTCGCACCTGCAGTGACACGCACAGCAGCGCTGGAGATCTTGACTTGTACAAAATCCCCTCGAATTGCCACCATATTTCATGAAATCCCTCCTCGTTCTGAAGCGCGTAATCATAGATCTTGACCCTGACCTCTGCTGTGAGGCCCATCAAATCAAATGGTTTGGCCAGCTCCGACAGATAGTCGAGAAGTGGCAAAGGCTTGCTCTTGATGTTTTCTGGCACACGCTGCAGAAGTCCCTCACTGACAAGATAACGGATCTTTGCTGATGATGTTTCAGAGTCGACATATGCCAAGATTGGTAGGGGCTGGCGCGGGTCAGTGCTGCCATAGTGGAGCTTGATGATGGCTTCGACTTTGGCGCGCCATTTGGAATAGTTGCTGCCTTCGTACAGCAGGCCAGCGCAGGTGATGAGGCCTCGGGTTTTCATGTTCGGTTTTTGCGGCGTGCACTTGCGACGCAGGTTTGCATGTGGAGTCTCAAGATGTTGACAACCGTGAGGCTTTCCAGCACGGGCATCTCCCGCCCTTGCCAAAACGCGCATGTGAAGTGTATGGGAAGGAGCCATTCAATCTGATCCTGATTTGCGCGGACATTGCGACTGCTTCGACTCATTTTCTGGCAAGTACGATGACAGCCACTGAATTTTCAGATGTGTGCTTCGCTAAATTTCCACCGCACGAACTATGCAGACAAAGCATCGACAGTCAGATCATGCTGCAGGAGGTAATCATACTCGAGCACTGACTTTCCGAGCACCAAAGCGCTCTCAGCGCAATCCTCTTTGCTCGTCCATTCCTTGGCAGCATGTGACACTCCGTCTTGGGCTCGTGCGAACACCATCGCCGTAGGACACACAAGCGTGGTCATCGTACTATCGTGAGCAGTCAAAGTGTTAGCTCCAATGCCCTTGTCGCCGCACGCACGCTTCACGCATTCAACAGCCTCAGGCCAAAACTTGCCGGGCTCCAAGTGCATGATGCGAGTAGTGTCAAGCTTGACTCTTGCGGCTGCCGCTCGGCTGTTTGCTCGGGCTTCTACATCTTTCGCCATGGCTGCAAGTTTCTCCGAGTCCGGGTGCATCAAGCAGAAAACGATCTTCGTCCAGCTCTGGATATTGCAGCAGCCAACAGGGCCTGACAGAATGCTCGTGACTGTTGTGGAGCCACCATGTGTTGAAGGAAGGTCTTCGATATCAGCTATCGCTTTTGCAGCTGTGACCAGACTGTCTTTCCTGCGCTCCATCGGATAGGTATTCGCATGCCCGTCCTCGCCATGGAACGTCATTGCAAGCACGGAAATGCCCTGCCAGCCTTCCACCCAACCCACTGGCTTTCCCGCTGCTTCCAAAGTGGTCTGCTGCTCAACATGAATTTCAAAATGTGCCGAGATGGGAAACTCCTGGAACGTGTTTGGTCCATGTCCAACATATCCGATAGACGCAAGAGCAGCACCGAGAGTGTCGCTCCCGCCATCGTTGGCCTTACTCTCATGCGCAGCATTCACACTGCTCTGGCCTGCGTAGACACAAGAGGAGCCGAGTGGCGGAAAGAAGCGAGCGCCTTCCTCGTTGGTCCAGTTGATGAGCGTGATAGGTGCGAAAGTCTCAAGAGCCTGTTCTTTCATGCTGCGGACAACTTCGAGAGCGCCCAACACTCCCAACGGACCGTCAAAGCGACCTCCCGTAGCAACTGAGTCAAGGTGAGAGCCCATAGCGATTGGCGGCACTTTGCCCTTGCCCGGGAAGGTTGCAAATTGTGAACCGGTGGCATTGACTGTATACGTTTCTGCTCCAAGTGCCGTGACTTGATCGCGAAACCAGTCTCTGGCCATTTTGTCGTAGCTTGTACCGCTCAGCCTGGACAGACCTCCAGCCGCGGTCGTGGCATTAGGGGCAGACCACTGTGCTGTGTGATGGATATCGTTCCTGGCCTCAGCTCAGTGATCGTTCTGAATTTCACGCAGTAACTTCTTTACCATAGTCTGTCGCCATTGATCGTAAACTTCTGAGCATGCGTCGAAGTGAGGCTGCTATACGCTTGGAGTGTGTTCCTGCTAATTCTAATGTAGGACGGCCTTGAAGGCCGTAAAGCGAACATTATGCCGGACTTTGTCTACGGCTTCGCAGTGTCGAAGAATTTCTGAACTGTCTTCTCGACATGTCTCTTTGTGCTGAGAGCAGGTCATGACGTACAGTACATTGCTTATCGGCATCGGTTGACATGGACATAGTCACGTAGGCCAGACGGCCGCTCAAGGAAACCATTTCGGGCAAGATTTGTTATCATCGGCCAGTACTCCATTGTACGTACAGTCCAGTGGGTTCCTGGCCGAAGGGTGGCTCAGGTGGCGTCAAACTGTCCCTCACGACCTTCGCGAAGATCCTGGAAGTGTAGCTGATATATTCCATTCGTCGTCAAATGTTGCCAGAGAAGACATCGGAGTGAAGGGAAGGAAGGAGAAAGTGCAAACCGCTGCCAAGCCGACGTGCACCAGCCTCAGGTTGTCGCTCTTGGTTCCGGTTCCGGTCCTCCTCTCACATCGCCTGTTGCATCAACGTAGCGCGTCCGCACCAACTGCGAGAGTCTCCAGGAATACATGCAGTCCAAGATCGAGCGGTACAGAATAGTAGGGACATTCCCGTTCATTGCAGCTCTGTGCGTTACTCCTGCTCTCATTTCCCCGTTGTACGCTCAGTCTTCTCACACGATGACGGGCTTGAGATCTCAGTATTCCCGACACAGTAGACTACGACATCGATATGGCTCCCAGACGTAGAACTGTGCGCGCTGGCAACGCTCCAGCCAAAGGCGCCGTTTAAGTGCTCGAGCAGTCATCGTTTGAAGCTGGGTCAGGGACGGTAATCAGGCCGACGAAATTGAAGAGACGAGCAACAGTGTAGAAGCAAAGGTGAAATAAGTCGGAGAAACGATTGGTCGTGTGTACACGAAGAGCTGGGATATCGAAAAGGGGGTCAGTCGTACGGAAGAGACGATCGATAATGTTCAAGAAAAGGTCGTCGGGCTGAAAGGCCAGAATGATGATCGAGAAGAGATGGTAGATGGCATCCAGAGGCTGGGCAGTGCTACTGGAGACAATGTGCGGCGAGCCGACAATGTCGTCGACTACATTCATTGCTCGCATGCTTCGGGGTGCTTGGTCCCAGAGATCCCGAGTACCTGTCCTGTGCGACCGAAAGGACCTCGAAGCCGGCTTTTACGAATGCCTGACGTAATTGGTTGATCCCCATTTCATTGACAACATTGACTTCCATCTCTTCTGTACCTTCATCCGTCGAGCACAACCAACATCCCACATGGCACGCATCATCATCACCGGATCTGCTGATGGCCTTGGCTCCTTGGCTGCCAAGGAGCTTGCCAGCCGTGGACATCAAGTCTACCTCCATGCGCGATCTGCGTCTCGTGCCGAAGATGCAATGAAGAACTGTCCCAAAGCCGAAAAGTGCTTCGTTGCCGACCTTTCCTCACTTTCAGATGTCAGAAAGCTCGCCGACGACATCAAAAGCCTAGGCTCTGTCGATGCCATCGTCCACAACGCAGGCGTGATGCACGGAGTCAGCGGCAAGAAGGCAGCGGAAGGCGACTATGGCCTATTATTTGCCACCAACACATTGGCGCCCTTTGCTCTCACATCTCTGGTCGCTGGTGCTTCAAAGCGACACGTATTTCTCGGTTCTCAAATGTCCAATGGAGGCGATGGCTCACTGCGTAACCTGAAAGAGTGCGGCTACGGGGATTCTAAGCTGCACAACATCTTGCTTGCTTTTGGATTCGCGAGGCATCTGAAAGCCCAAGGCGTAGAGGAGAGCAATGTACTGGATCCGGGATGGGTGCCGACCAAGATGGGTGGTGCAAGCGCTCCCGATGATATCAATGCTTCTGTGAAGACTTACGTTGCGCTGGCCGAGGGTGTTGGATCTACGGGCGAATACTGGGGACCTGGCGCACAGAAAGGACGACGACATCAGAGCGTGGCCGGTGACATCGATGCTCAAGACACACTCTTGAAGGAGTTGGAGCAGATCAGCGGGATCAAATTCCCACGCGAGAAGCTCTGAAACCTGCAACAGCTTGATTGTTCATGATCTCACGACAATGGAAAATCGTCCAGAGATGAGAGGGGAGTCTGATTCTGTCGCCGAATACTTCGAAGCATTACTCTGACAGGTTAAAACAAAAACTTGGCTTTGCTCTGATGGAAAAGACTGCATGCGGCGGAGGTCTTTTCATCGGCAAGGAACATGGACATATTTTCCGCATTACCCGTTGATCCACAGCAGTCGCATTCACGTCCCAATTATTGCTAGCAGCTCCAGAACCGTGCAGTGCCGAGGAGGTGCATGCCTCCCTCGTACAGATAATTAGAGGCGTGCTTACGTGCTCGTAACGTATGCTTGCTGGCCTGGTGACAACCGTGGATTCAGCGAGTCTGTCGTGACAGATTCTGTGCGTTCAATGACGTTGAAATCGCTTGCGGTACTTGTGCGTGCCAATGAAGTTCTGCTTCAACTCACCTTGCCGTTGCCGACGTGCATAGCACATTTCGCCAGCAAACAATTGCGACATACGCATAAAGCGCTCAATGCAGAACTCACGACGCCGTCACCAGGTGCGGATTCAAAAGAGCGTCTGCGTTGCGCCTGCTGATGCACAAAGTGACTTGTTCCTTCTCCATCCAGCAAAGAACCGAAACATATATCCTTCCTTGGACAGCGAGAAGCACAACAACAATATGGAGCAACAGGGCGCACGCGCAGGTTACCACGAGCCGTTGGCTCTCATCGTGATCTCTTCCGTCTCCATCGGGATCGCAGCCATCGCCGCACTTGTCATCGCCATCGACATCATCCTTCGACGAGGTTGGAGGACCATGATGCTGGTAATGTGCGTGAATGGAAATAACACGTCACGCAATGGAGTGCATGGCTGAAATTGCTTTGCAGGATACCCGTCTACGTGGTCAACGCGCTTTACCTTTGGCCGATCACGCTCTGGACATACCTCAACTATGGCAGACCAGCTAAGCCACCAAATCGAAGCAGACTGCCATCACAGACAGACGAGAAGCCAGCAGTGGAGTCGGGAGCGGGCCATTGCTGCCATGGAGGCTCAAAGGAACAGGAGCCAGCAACGGCCGAGCCAGCCTGTCATAGACAAGACCGACCAATGTTTGCTACGATCACTGTAGCTGTCTGCCATTGTGGTGCTGGCTGCGTTCTCGGTGACATCATCGGCGAATGGATCGTCGACGGCGCAGGCATCACGATCAACGGCCGCACACTTTGGCCAGCATATCTCATCGGTCAGTCGTCCTGTCCTTATCTACATGCTACATTCTGACTGTCATCAGACTTTGCATTCGCAATAGCGTTCGGTATCGTGTTCCAGTACTACTCGATAGCACCCATGACTGGTGACTATGGCACCAAGACATTGTGGCGAGCGGCAAAGGCAGACTTCTTGTCGTTGCTCTTTTTCGAGATTGGTCTCTTTGCTTGGATGGCCATCTTCCAGATTGCGATTTTCGAATGGAAGCTGGAGATGAATACAGTCACGTACTGGTGGATGATGCAGGTATGTTTGCGAAATGCCGCGGTTCGTACGTCGACTTAGCTGAGGTCTTCGATAGATTGGAATGTTTCTAGGCCACTGGACTGGTGTACCGATCAATGTAAGCACTGATTCGATCCCTTCTATCATATGGTGGATGAAGAATCTGCTGACTTGTCATTGTTTTACGTAGTGGTGGCTCATCAAGACGGGAGTCAAGGAGCCTTGTGCTTGATCTCAAGTCAAGACGCCCCCAGAAAACAAGAGGCATCTTGGTGCAACAATGCTACATTCAGTCAATTATGAGAAGTAAGCACATAGCTCACATGTCCAGAGAAGGTCATCTGAAAAGGTGAAGCAAGTTATTCAGCTGCAGATCCCCCAACTTATAACTTGCCCAAGAAGGAAATCCAGTCTCAGTTAATCATGATACACCCAAGTGACAGATACAGGAGCCCATTCTGGCTCGGACTCATTCTGCGCGTCCGCATCGAAGTCCTCAGCTGGATACAGATATGCCACACGAGCTGCATCGCCCATCGAAACCGTTTTTGCCCAGCCGCCCATAACCAGATCAGCTTTAGATCTCCGGAATTTTCGTTTCCTCAAGATCACGGGCTTCTTGTCCTTGTCCTTGCTTGCCAAATATGAGCCGTACAACATGATGCTTTGGAAGTCGAAGTCCTTTGACCATTGAGGAGAACCTAGTTTGCCGGTCACTCTGGGTAAGTATTGAGTAGCCAAGAAGTCATAATTCCTGGCGATATATAAATCATTGCAGCTTCCATCGGTCAGCGCAAAATCATCGCGGCGCACAGTGTTATTGGTTAGACTCACGCATCTTTGATTGTGTGCCCATTATTGGCTGCTCCAATTCTCTTCTTGGCCTTCACACATTGGTGAGTTGAGTCGGTTTGCGCCATGCTGGAGATGGGAGAAAACTTACCGCCTCGTAGTCTATAAGATTCTCACATCGAAACTCGATCCACTTGGACGCGTCAGGTCTGGCCTGTTCGTGGAGCAAGCCGATCACGTGCCCTGCGTGGTCAGCTTGAGATACATGTAACGCAAAAGAATCTGGATTCCATGCCGTACCGATCTCATGAGCCATACTTAACTTGATGACCGTCAGCAGGAGAATTGACATGTCGGACTCCCCAACTTACAGAATCAAATCCTGCATCGACACTGCGACAAAACTTGAGGAAGTGCCGGCCCGCGTGGCTTTGGACATAGTGATATCCCAGGGTGGCGACACCGGCACTGTTTGGGTATTCGTTTCCTCCAGTCATGTCAGAAATCCGCAGGGCATCGTCACGAACTCCAGAATCGCTGCAGATACACTTCTTGTGAGGCTCGCTTTCTGTTCCGGTATCAGACTGGATTCTCAGGGCTGATGTTATGATTGCAATCTTCCATTTTGCGACTGCTTGAATGAAGAGGTCGTGCAAAGTCTCGTAATCGGCTTCAGTTGCCCAGCAGTACCGGACTGGCTGGATGCGAGGACTTCCTGGACGTCCTTCAACCACAGGCCACGCCCCAATCTGTACCGAGTCTCGTCAGCAGTTACCTGTGCGTTGGAATCTGTTTGGTCTTACGGCACGGGGATCGCCTTCGGCAGGAATCCAAACACTGTACCACCGCTTGAGGATGTGCTCTTTTGGTGACGGACAAGCTAGTGTCGAGAGTGTTGTCGAGGTAAGTAGAAGACTCGGCAGCGCCGGAGGAGTTCTCATGATCCACGAATTGATGTTAGGTGTTTCTGGAATTGCTGCGTGGTCGGTGAAAAGTTTCAGATATCAACACATATATGTACCTCACTTCAAAGTGGCTCTCGCGCTCAGGTCGCTGCTGCCGCTGCAGGAATGCAAAGGACGAATCACTTCACTGCAATCGTAGGGAAAGGCAGGTGCTCTGCTTCTGCGTAGCATGACAAGGCTGCGGCTACGATATGAAGATCATAATCCCTTTCTATCGGAGCTCGTCTACAAAAGAAGGATTTCTCGAGTCTGAACGCGTGATATTTGCGTCTACAGGTCACATATGAAGACATCTGTTGGGTCCTCTGCAAAAAGACTTGCACGAACGGCGAAGAAATCTACGGCTATGACTAAAGGCTGGGTATGGAGCTGATCGGAGATTACAATGAGATTGAGGTATGTACTAACGACAGCTGAGGCATATCGTCGCCGTGCCGGGCAAGTGGTAGAAGCTTCTTTCTTCGCAAGACCCATTGGTCACGTCAACTTGGTACGACGGCCAGTCTTCCAACATGATCATGATGGTAAGGGGCGATGCAGCTCGGTTTTGTGTAGCCTGATAGGGTGCAGAATAGAAGGGCGAGCGATACCAGCGAGGGAATCGAAGGAGGACAGACCGTGGCTTTATCCACTAGACTGAATGAGATTCAGCATGGGTGTGTTGTTCGAAGAAGATAAAGAGGCTCTCAAGAATTTTCTGGCTAATGTAGTCAAGTCTGGTACCATGGCTGTGTTTCTGCTTTGTCTGACACATTCGTCGATCGGTGAGCGAAAGTACAGCCCCGTCCCACCGTGAGCTGGGCTGCAGTCAATGAAGTTTTGTGAATGTCAGGACCGTAAGATGGTTGTAACAAGTCGATTGATCGATGTTCGACAAGTACCCAGAGCGGCTTTTGATGTCTGACACGAGCAAGCTTTGTGAGGGTACAAGGTTGGTGGCACACAGTTTGGAACACTGCCGATGATGACCTTGGCATGGGAACAAAAGTTGGGAATTGCCGTCCCTGAAATCTCAACCTGACATTGTTTTCATGAGAATCAACGAAATCGCTCAAGTGTGTACCTACAACGCATCCTATTGTCGGACCGGAAAATTCAGGCAGAACTGCGAGTGTGCCTTCCATGTGATTGATGCCTCGCGCTAGGAGTGAGGTTTCCTCTTCAGGTCTAGAATCCTCTTCTCTCCTTACATCTCCAACATCATCATTTGAACATCCCACAACACGCATTCACTCCGCGAATATTTCAAGACCAGAACAAGTCAAACGCGCAGACTTATCGGACGCTACGTATCCCTGTCGGCCCGTTCGTCACACCACGGCGCAAACCGAGTCGGAAATCGACGCAACGAGTTTTAGTACAGCTCCGCCACTGTGTAAGTTGGCGAGAATCGCCAGATACATCTCGAAACTACTTTTACGATCACTTGCGAATGCCTGCAGCCTAGTTCTCCACGGAAAAATCACAGTAACCAAGCACATGAACCAGACAAGACCATGGAACCTCAGTCAAGAATGAAGCGGGCAGTTGATGGCGCAACATCGACGCGTATTCGATATCAAAGCCCGCCTTTTCGCTCAGAGGAAGATGCTACTCTCTATCTCGCGGAAATCAGACACCCAGGTCCCCGCAAGCCCCGTCATACTCATCCGGATACCACGGCGGCACAGGACCTTGCGCTTGACAAGGCAGCTGTCCTTGTAGATTGCTCCAAAAGGGCCCACGTCTCACGCAGAGATAGCGCAGTCGTAAAGGTCAAAGATCAGGACGACGACTCGTCTCTCACCGACTTGGACTCAACCCCCGAAGATGCAGGTGGCGAGGTCAAGCCAAGGTGAGCAAGCTCGAGCGGCTGTGCCACCGTGTACGCAGTGCGGGCACAATCGCACGCCACGGACGAATTTTGTCGAATGATCACTGACATGATATAGCACCACGAAGCTCACTATAAGATCTCCAATAACGAAAAGAGTGGACAAATTCGAGTCTTCTGACGGCCCAACTCTTCTTACACCGACAAGTACTCAATTGTCCTTCTCGAATTTTCCGGCGAATTCGCAAGATGAGAAGCCCAAAGCGACCGCTGGACTTTCAGAAAACGCGTCCGTTTCGCGAGGCCGTTCTCCCAAGCGCTCTTTGGAAGACGTTGAAGCGCCGGATGATCTTCGACCGCCACCAAAGGCAAGCAAAAGCATTCCCAGAGCAAGCTCCAAGGCTCGGCGGAAGTCACCAGCAAAAGCTCCCAAGCGCAAACCGGTGCAAGAAGGTCAATCAGCTCACCCTCCAGCCTCGAGAGCAGTGGCTCCTCCAGTTCTAAGCACTGAGCCAGCTTCTCCACCCAAGCAAGTCAGGACCAATGTTAAGGGCATACTGAACAAGGAGGACCTTACCATCGCCGGCACATCCAAGCTAGATCCAACAGCGCCCATAGACTACGTCAAGGAGTACAAGTACAAGGGGAGGTGGTACGAAGTCATTGGAGAGGATCGTCCTTCGTGGGCGGAGGATGAGCGCACGGTAACTCGCAGTGGCCCGGTACAGACGTCGAGACGATCGACGGGAGCGTGGCGGAGATCTAGTGATAGATGAGATGTATCGAAAAATCTTGCCTCTCTCGCTTCGAAAAAAATATTATAGGAACTAGGCAGTCGAGGTCGAATCCCTATCTAAATATTACACCGCCTTGAAGCCGGCACGAGAGCTCAGCTTCACGAGACGCACCTACAAGGACGACACCATCCAAGAGCGGTACAAGGAATTCTTGGCAGAATACACCGAAGCTCCCACAGGCTCCGACCTCCGCGGCTCGCTCGCAGCAATGTTTCATCGAGTACAGACCATGAACAAGGGCGAGATGGAAGAACTCGAAGCGTTTTGAGAGGTAAGTATAGAGTGGAATTTTTCGGAACGTATCTTGCCTCGTTCGCTTCGAAAGTACTATAGGAACTAGGGAGTCGAAGTCGAATCCTACTCTTAAGGACAATTCGAGGTTATTAGAGATAATAAAGTAAGTTACAAGTTTTTACCTGTCTCGCTTTACGGTTATAAGAGTAGTATAAAGCAGTAGTATTTACGTACCGACGCGGATAGGAAATAAAGACGACTCGAAGCACTTACGGAAGACCTTTAGTATCGCCTAGCTTACTTCGATTAACTCGAGTCGTAAGTTATAAGGAGTAGATAGTACTTAGAACTTAAGTTCGCTAACTAGTAGTAAGTATATCTAGTATATATCTATAGCTATAAATATTATAGATAAGGCCTCGTAGTACGAAGCTAATATTATTTAGAACCGCTGCTACTATAGTAAATAGATAGTATAATACTAATAAACGACGCTAGGGTAGTCTCTCCGTCTCGATACCTTACCTAGTTCGCTTCCAGATTATAACTAGTAGAAAGGAGTCGGGCTCGCGTATATATATAGTCTAGGGATAAATGCGAATAGAATCGCTTATATAAGGATACGAATCTTACCTAGCTAGGATTAGTCGGTATTAAGTAATACTACTCTTTTTTTATAAGAAACTTCGAACTATAGGACTATATAAGAAGGGTTATATTAGTAGGTAGATAGGGTAGTAGTAGGTACAAGTAGTATTCGATAAAGGTCTAGAAGGAGAAGGAGGAAGGTAGGCTAGTTAGCCTAACGCTAAGCGCTAAGCCCTACCTAAGGCACTAAGACCCTAGCTTTACTCGGCCTAGTTATATACTAATTACGTATAGCCTCTTTAGCCCTAATATACGCTTCCCTTCTAAAGGCCGCGCCCTCGTAGCCGGTCTTTATTCTAACCTCTATCGCTACTAACTTAGTAGGTCTAATAAGCTACTCGATCCGCGCTAAATCGAATACATAACTACCGATTATATAACTATACCAAACCTTACCTCTAATATAATATAATGTCTAACTCTAACTGCGCTATCCTTATATATAATAAAGTAATATATAACTATAAGAATTAAGGACTATCGACTAATTATAATATAAGCGCATCTTCCCTACTATAATAGATAGACGTACGAGGTATTGTAGCACTGCCTCCGCTCTAAGTAATATCGTATCGAGTTCTTTGCGTCTACTCTTAAAAGACCTAGAAATGTCCGCTCTAAGGGTTTGTCCGTTCCGAGGGTTGTTCTTATTGTTACGAGGACTATTATTTACTATCGCGGTTTTACTAGCCCTAATTAGTTAGGTTTAGTAGCCTTTAAGTATTAACTAGTTATATCTTTTTAAAAAACTCAGTTCTTCTAGTTTCTATAGGTAAAGGCTATTATAAGTGTAATAGTTAAGGCTCGCTTCGCTTAAAGGGTCGGAAAGATCGAGGAGTAACTTATTATCCGCAAGATCGACCCTAGCTAGCTTAGCTCTATAGTTTTTGCCCTTAGTTAGTCTATTAGTCGCTTAATCTTTTAAGCGGCTTAAAGTTTTAATTAAACCTTTAATATAGCTATTCTTTTAACTTAGTTAGTATAGTACGCTTCCGGCCTTAGGCCGTAGTATAGGTATAAGGAAGTAGTATATAGAGAGTATTAATACGAGTAAACAGTAGTCTTAGTATTTAACGATATCGCCTAAGGAACGAGCGATTCTCGAGATAGGAATAGGCGCCTTATCCTATAGTACTAAGAGTTAGGTAACTCGGGGTTACCGGCGAGGTACCTCTAGGGTGCCTTATAGGTGCCTAGCAAGGGTCTCGGCGGTATAGAAGGGTATTCCCTTATAGTATCCCCCTCCTCTCGATAGCCTATTCTTAGGTTATATGTTTTTCCCGCGCCGCTACCTCCTTTACTACTTACGCTTTCCTACGCCGCTACTAGATTAGTATAGCGATACGCGGTCTAGTAGTAGAAATATTACTACGAAACGTCGATAGTAGGATAGAGGTACCTCTAAGGTGCCTCTATATAGGGCTTACGCCCGAGAAGAGTAGGGCGCTAGGGAGTAGTCCTATATAGACCTTTGCCCTACTTCTAGTAGAAACCTCTAGCATCGACGGCAAGCGCTAAACGACTAAAGAGCTATTCGCTAAGGCGTAGTCGTTGCCGTATATATAGGTATCCGCTCGGCGGTTATACTTATTAGGCTTAGCCTTAGAACGTACTATTTGTTCCTATTACCTTTAAGGTAGGGTTACGGTACCTTTGCGGTACTTGCTCCTTTACTTAGGGAACTTTTATATATAGGGTTTGTTTACTACTAGGAATTAGATAATCGCGTATTTTTCTTCTACTTTCTCCTTCTCCTAATTTCGCCCTCGATATCTACTAAATACTATAGTTTCCCTAGGAAACATAAAGAGTGCTTATATACTAAAGCGTAGAAGTAGTCGAGGTCGGTATACTTAGTTTTTACTAGGGATAACGATTAATAAGGGTATGTTCGTTACGCCGACCCTTTACGTTACCTACGTTATATACGCTTTACTCGCGACCTCTTAGAGTTACCGCCGAGGTGCCTATAAGGTACTAGAAGCGTCTATACGCGAAGTAAGTATAGGTCGCTAGGGTTAAAAGCGCGCGTTTCGTTAAACAACCTTCTTCTTCTTTTTATTAATACTAACTAGTATTAGATCGCCCGCTTAATACTACTCCGCTCCGATATACTTCTCCGCTCCGATATACTTCTCCTAGTCCCTTAAACACTAAGGCTAATACCTCTTAAGTACTACTATTACCGCTATTATTATAAGAGCTAACTCTCGCCGACCCTTTTATTATAGCTTTAGGTTCCGGTAGTAGTAGCGGTCGCAACTTTACTCCTATTAATTAAGGCGGTAGCGGTATACCGCGTAGTACTTCGGATAACTCGTTTACGTACGCTTAGAAGACCTTAGGTCGCGGTAGCCCCTTAGAGCACTATAACGATAGCCGCCTCTATATCGATAGCGAGGCTAATACCCCTTCTAAGGACGTCCTATTTAACTTCTATAGAGTAAGTCCGGTTCTCGAACCTCGCCTAGAGCTTCGTACTAGCTACGCTAGCTACCTCGAGTACGTCCGTAGGAGCTAGAATATCGGTACGAACAAGATAACTATCGGTAAGTAGCTCTCTATACTAGATAGCTACGAATTTAAGGAAGATATAAAGTGCGGCCGATATAGACCTATATAGGGTTAGGGTTGCAAGCCTATAAGTGTTACCTACGAGGCGCCCTAGAGGCACCCGCTAATCCGCTATATAGATCCCTCCTATAATATAGCGTATAGCTAATTTTCTCGAGTACCTCCGTCGCTACGCTAAGGTAAGCATTAATAACTATAGCGCTCTTTATTAAGACACCCTTCGCCGTAAGGCGGATTAGCGCAACTACGCCGATAAGATATAGGTAGGCTATAACTGTATCCGCCTTCGTCTAAAGAACGACAATCTCCTTAACCGCGAACCCTCTAGCTAGGATTAGTCGAATTACGATAACTAGCTAAAGGCTAACTATTAGGCGGCTTAGGAGGCTTTCTCGAAGGGACGCTTAGTCGATCTAACCGCCGAGGGTTAGAATATAACTATCGATAGGGAGATAGAGTAGTAGTACTTTAAGGCGATTAGTAAGGAGTATCTTAGTACGAAGTTTTAGCGTCTAATCTTCCTTAGCTATAAAGTCCGCTAAGGGATTTTCGAGAGGTATCGGAGGTACCTACGAGGGGCTTAGGTTAAGCGGATAGGGTATAGAGTATTGCTTTTATAAATTTTCGAGCGAGAATATACGCGACTCGAGAATACCTTAAGTACGCTTAGCGTATAGGTAGAGATAGGAAGGTTCTACGAATAGGTATGCTTTTAATACTATTATCCTAAATAAGAAGAGGATACTTTAGATAGCTAGGAAATTAATAACAGTCGCCCGGTAATATTAATAACTTCTATAAAGTTTATCTACTAGTACTGTCTTAATTTGCCCTTAGTCGGAGACTAGGCCGACGAGAAGAAGATGCTTTAGTCGTCGGTAGGGTCTTACGAGCCCTCTTAGAGGGCCTCCGAGGTACCTCTATAGTGCTTTAGGTACTAGCGGCGTTTTTAATCTTCTCCTTATACTCTACGAGTAGATTTAGAGAATAAGCTAACTGCTCTTCCGTTATCCAATCGTCCTATTTAGGCGAATACCCCTTCTATCTAACCCTAAACTTCTTATTCTTTCCTCTTCCTTTATAAGCGACGATCTCCTCGACCTTATATTCTTCCTCTAATCTATCCTCCTTAATATCGTCGATAGGAGGTAGCTAGTAGCCTTTACGAGCGTTATATCCTTCTAGTAGCGATATATAGAATACTAGGTATAAGCGCTTTATCGACGGGGGTAGGTTAAGCTTATAAGCCTAGCTTCCGAAGCGCTCTATAATAGTAAAAGGTCTAAGATATTTATTATCGAGCTTACGGTAAGGACGCTTCGTACGAATATTCTTTGCCGATAATAGGACTTAATTACCGATAGCGAAGTGCTTGTCCTTCGTTAATCTATTATAGTAGCGTTATTATAGCTCCTAAGTATACTAGAGCGAGGAGCGAGCTTCTTCGAAGTCTTTTAGTCTATCGGATAGAAACGTATACGCTTCTTCCGCGAGCTTCTTAGTCCTCGGCGGCACTAGCGAGGTACTATCGAGGTACCCTAGAGGTAGGTACTCCCTACTCGATACGATCTTAATACTATTAGGAAGGTTCGGTTTAATACCGAAGGCAACCTTAATTAGAGATTTACTACTAAGTCTATTATACGGCTTGCTATTATAAGCAAACGTAGCAGTATATAGTAACCGAGCCTAATCGTCTTAGTCCTAATTATAGTAGATACGAAGATAGTTCTTAAGCTACTAGTTTATACGCTCGGTCTAACTATCGGTCTAAGGATAAAAAGCAGTACTAAGACGGCGTTTAATAGCGAG